AAATTGTGTCAGAATGCGATAGGCAACCATTAGGGGGGGGGGGAACGAGTACTTTCATAATATGATTTTAATAAATTGTCAGTGTAGACGCAGTGTACGCTCCTGTGAGATTTTGAGGTCAACGTGAACTGAGCGCCATTCAGCTGCTCCTGAAATCGTCCCTGTATCGCTTGGAACGTGTTCTTGTATTCTTTTTAGTATCTGATGTGATGTTACCCATACGTAACTTATGTGCTGACAACAAATGAGAGAAAAGTCACTGAAAGGCGAGGAAAATACACAAACTATCTCAATTTCTGGGAATGGTATTTTAAAGTAGATTTTTACATGACTGTCGGTGTATCTTTGCCAAATTTTGCACAATTCCTTGGTCTGTCTGATTTTCAGCGGACAAGTGATCAGGTACTGCGACCAATCCAGCTACTTCGCACGTTTCAGTGATTTGAATGTTGTAAAAGCTTGTTCAGTTGTGCTCCATTGTTATGTGTTCCTTTATTATATGTACGTGCTTTGTCGTAAATTAGTTTCTGTGTATGTTCAGCATCCGTTGTACCTCCAGTATGTACTCGTGGCTTGCACTCCATCTCAATGTAGCTCTTGCTTGACACACCAACGGTTAAACATTCAAAAGTGTAGCCATTTTTGAATACTCTATGTTCGCGCCCCTGATGTTGTTTGTTGTGTTGTTCGTTGTATCCCAGTTTGTTTTCGAAGCCTTAGATGTTGCAATTGTTTTCGATACTTTTCTACCTGACTGACAATCCTGCAGGTTGCACTCTCATTCTTTGTTCAATAATCTCTACACGTTTTTTCTGCACGTTACTTATCACAAGCAACAGGAATTGGTGCTTGGCTAGCCGCTCGTCAATGGTTTCCAACAGCCCTTAATCACTAACCTTTTTCTGTCAGGTCGTTAATATCGGTAACATCTCATGATGACCCCGGTTTCCGTAACCTTGTGTTTTGTCTGGTGGGTTGCTTTATCATCATTGTACGTGTTGCATTTCTTAAGTTTCCGATAAGTTTTTGCGAGTATCATTGCGCCACTGGGACTCTGCATCACTCAACTATTTTTGTGGTCAACCTAGTTATTTCAGAGTCAACACTCCGTGCCTAGTAAAATTGCATTATTTATAGGTGCTGGTTTTAAAGACAGACTCCTTCTGAGTGTCGAAAAGCGTTCACTCTTGGGTTGAGCAACGGACATTCTGTGCTCCAACTCTTGCATACCATCATTCTGATTATGTTTAACTTGCACGCTCTTGGGACTGGCTGATTGCAGTCGTATGCACATGGCGGTACATACCATTATGCTAGTTCTATGCACCTTGGTCATAAATAAGTTTATAATGTTATCTCGGTCAACTATTTCAACTGGGGTTGATCAGGCGGAACAACGATACTACAAAGACTTGCTCTGCTAATTCCTCTAGTGGCAATTGAGCCGACCCGGATTCGTCAGCTGGATTTTGGCTGTTAGTCTTATACTGCTGTCGAGGACATGAATGTCACGTGACAGATGAAACAGCAGTTTTGCCGTTGACATCAGTGAGCCTAAATATGAAGTGTTCCTAATTTTCGTCAGAAAATAGAACTTTTCTAGTGCTTTTTAGTCCCGACAAGGAGACGGCCTAACTTAGTGGACTTGTACAGATCTGTGCCTAATTATTTGCTCTGGAGGATAGTTCCTCAAAATACCTCAGCGTCCACTCCTCCAGGTATCTTTTAAGATCACAATTGGAAGCTTTTTGGAAATGAAAGGTTGGTCGCTCTGCGAGGCTCTCACTCTCAGGAGACAGGAAGAAAGCGTTCCTTTCAATGGAGAACAGCTATAGTCTTCTACCTGTCTCAGTTTTCTCTATTTTGACTCCTAACTGAAATGCTACTGTTCTTTATATCCTCCTAAGCCCACAATTCCGTTGCTGACTTTAGTCGGAGCAGGAGCACGAATCTGTTTCTACAGTTTGCCAGTTAATTTTTCTACTGTGTTCACAATAAGTGTATGGTTTGTTGCGTTTCTGCCATACCGTACTCAGTCATGGCAGACAACCGTCCGCTGTGACCGCACACAGAAAATTTTAAAACCTGGAATTTCAAAGCAGGGGTTTCCGGTCATTCGTTCCATGGGCTGTGAGTCTCATTTTGCTGCTTAAATGTACCTAGCATTGAATTACGGGGCATATCGCACTCCGAAAACAATATGGCATAACCACTTATGTGCCTAATGCTCGGTTTGTTCTAACACCTCTCCGATGAAGTATCATACCTCTTTTCGTGTCAAAGTCACTATCCCTTGCTGGCTCTGTTTTAGGGTGCTTGATCATGCCGGTACCGCAGGCAGCCATGATGAGCTTATCTACGTAGAATTTCATCAAAACTCTAAGAAACAACAGAAAGGTAAATGACCTTGCTTTCTCTATCACTGTTAAGTTCTATGGTGCTGTGGTAGACTTTTTGCCAATAATATTTGTACACCTTTTTCATTTGTAACGTTCCAGACCAGTGCCACAGGTTCAATAGAGTGGTTTACTCCAGTTCAGTTTGTATTACGTCCTATTCTGCTCTCGAAGGCTTCCTCTGATTTAACGAGCCTAAATTTCATTTTGAATTTCTCAAACAGGTTGTGACAGACAACAGTCCGAGGTTGTCAGAGCTCTCTTACGGTTTTTTATAGTCAGGAAGCTAAATTCCTAATAGTGGAATTCATACTTGTGTGTCAACCGTAATTCGTTGTTATGAAGGTACTTTTTCAGTATTGGGCTTTTAATCATCCTGTTTATGTCACTTATTCCTATTTTAAGTAATAATTAACAGTGCTTAAAAGATTTGGTTCCTGAATTGTCAGGACTTATGAATTTACTCCCAACCCCACGGGTTTCCCATGTAGGTCAATTCTTCATTCATCTTATCAGTATTTTGAGGTTGTATAATATCTAGTAATAACTTAGGACAAAACACGGATGGCAGAAGTAAACCTCAGCATCGATCTATCTGGTCATTATCTCTCATCCGACTAGCAGCGCCATTTTGACCGTTCGAGCTGTGCTCAGATTTGGAATACTGAATAGCTTATCATTTCCATCCGTCGGACACTGGTACATCAGCTTAGTTTACGAGTCCAATCATCTCTAGGTCGTACAGTCTCGAGCTTCTTGAATTCATTCAATTCTGGTTGTCGTCAGTGGTTGTTTATTTTGATTGTAGCACTTAAAAGTACCATATCTTAAGGGGCATTAAAGTTGTGTCAATATTTCATGTTCATATTGTTAGCCCATTCAGTTCTAATCGCTTCAAGGAAACATTTATGCACCCAGGCGTGGATGTCCAGCACGTAATTTAACATCCATATTAATTATTCACGGGCGTGGGGACGTCGGAAAGGGAGCAATTCAGCCTAAATATTAGCACATGTGAATTCGAATGGTTTACTGCGGGCAGAAATGTCTTCGGACAAAGCCGGATAGAGGGGGTTTTGAATACCTTGAAATCTGAATCGAATATTTGAACGTTGTTCACCAGAAACAGTGGCAGTCCCCGAAATCCTGCTGTATCCTGAAACAGGCTGCAATGAACTTGCGTCAAGCTTATTGCTTCTCGCAGACTCCAAGGAATTCGAGATAGGAACAATGCATTTGTATATGCGTTTGTAAATCCCATAACAAATGTTGGCCTTTCATATAACAACGAAAGACTGGTCTTCCGAATTTGATGAAAACTGTTGCATAATGAGGACACCAGCAGATGTTTCTAGAGAGGTCTATCCATAGTTATTTCACGGTGTTCTTCGGAGTGGACGATTAGCCATAGAGGGTGTTCTCGTATGAAAGGTCTAGAATCGTAGGGAATCCTATTTTTATCTCATTATGTGATGTTCTTGAACACTCTAGCCAAAACTTAGGTCGATTGTTCATTGCTGTTACATCTTTGATGGATCTTGCTATGCCGTAATGGAAAACTGCATAATATTCCCTTATGATGAGGGGAGGTGAGACGACTACACGAGGGTATACTGAGTGTAGCCCGGATAATCCTCATGTGTGGTCGCTTCCTGGTGATGTTGAATGTTCGGTGAAAGTTTCATCAATCTTTTGTGTGCTGCAGCTGTAGTCAGTTAATTCAGTCAAGTTTGCCAAAAATACCGTTGTGGTATACGACCTATTTTATAGCTTGCTGGAGTCGGACCGACACTCCATCATAGGTCATCTGGCAAGTGCCCGATTGCAATACTTGCGTGCAGGTTAGACTTCCTTTTTTGCATGGCATTTGTGATAATCCGTCTTTAAAATTCCGGTATTTTCGCCCATCTCAAACATTCCGTTTTACAGTAAACATCAAACTGCGTAGTATACACTTGTGCGCATCAATGGATTATCTCGTGGCTCTGGCGGATTTCCATTTGAAGAGTTACCCACAGTTGGAAAAACAAGCGCCGGTGCTGTCGCCAATTACCGAATCTGGGAAGCGCAAACGACGAGAAGTTCCTCCGCGTACAAAACCAAGTAAAATGCTAGGCTTCGGTCTCTCGCAGCGTTCTGGCCATCGGTTTTTCATGTGTATTATTTTGAAAGAGTTGTCTCATTCATCTGGATTCTGCTTTTTGTGTGATTTACCTTGAAATAATGTCCCTTGGGTACTCAGACTTGCTGAGCTTTCAGTTCAGTTTCTTTGCCCATACCGAATCGCAGTTGTCCCTTCAGAGTATCGATCTGGGAATTGATAACACACTGAATGGGCACTACTTTCGGCGCGGCGTTTTGCTAATACTTATCGGTAACATTTGTTTACTTAGGGTTGATTACTCCACTGTTTTTATTCACCGAAACTTCCATATTGTCATGCATCAAAAGAGGGAAAGGAGAGCAGCAGTCATCTTTTTTGCAATGCTGATGCGGATAGGTCTGCAGTGTTTGACATCTTTTAGTTTTTACGTTGCGTCTATGGCTTATTTACGATGGCTCTTTCAGGGCGCCGTCAGGACCTCCCACCTCCAACGGAATATCCGAACGAACTGGAGCTGCTGGTTGATGTTGGTGGTCCTGAGATTGTGCTTGTTGAAGATATTTACAACATGCAAAGTAATTCTCTGAAGGTTTCGGTAAGTCAGATTGGTGTTTTCACACTTTCCAACTTGATATCGCCTTTTGATTTTTTCGCACTGAAAATAATGACGTATTTCGAAGTGATTTTACTAAGAGTGGTTGTTATTTCAGCATCAGCTGTAGAGCCAATGTGACTTAAGTATTTCGTCAGCTAAGTCCGCGAGCGCAGTGGCTTTTGGCGTGTGAGATCTGTATTGGTTTATCTACAGATAACTTGGCTGTGGAGGCATTTTCAGCATTCCACGGACCTGATGAGAATTTCGTATCCGTAATTAAGAAGTTTGCTGATTTTCATAATACACAAGTTGCAAACTCTAGGAAAGCTTCTCAAAATTTGCCTGTGATTCTGATTACACCATGCTTCTCCTGTCTAGGTACTGTTTGCCGTGTTTATCTCATTTCACTCAGTCATGTTTATTGTGGTTCACTTCTTGACATGATGAATCATGAGCGCCTTGCTTAAAAAACCCCGCCACTTTCTCAACTGTTTTTCCCGGGTCCGAAAAGTGGGATAAAAACCAGTGGAATTTGGTGGTATTAGCACATAGATCTGGTCGGCAGTCCACAGTGTCCTCGCGTTATTAGCTACTCGCATCTCAACTATCCCGGAGATGTAGAGTTAATCGATGTTACTTTATTACATCTTGACACATTCGGTTTAAAATAAACGGGTCAACCGATCTTATCCAACGCATAACTATCCCGTTTCTATTATCCTTACCCAAGCTGGAAGATGCAAGGTAGCCACATTCCCACAATCCGATTTTCCAGGTTTCATATCATGATCTCCTGGAGTTCGTAGGAGTTTTAATTTTACTTTCAATTCTCCTTTTGGTCTTTCCTGAATCAGGCGACATTCCAAATGAAGTACAATATTTTGAAGGATGTTGCGGTCATGGACGCTTCTGTCAAGGGCTTGATTGTTGTTGCATGTCCATACAACGAACCAGTGCACGGAAGATTTTCCAAAGAAGTAAGTATAAGTGGTCCATGGTCAACTGTTTCCGTCTTGTTCTTGGTCCTTCCCAAGCCAGGTTACTGTGGACTTCCGTGTTTCTTTTCGTTTATCCTCTAGATCCTTTCCCCGACAGAAGTGAGTTTTTACTGTAAGCAGCCGATCAACGGGAGCATGCAAGGGTCGTTGCATATCGACGCCATCATGTTGAATATCAACCCTGGAACAATTCAGCTGGTTGGACACATCGTCTCAACGATACAAGCGACCACCAATCCACAGATCTCAGGTATTGGTAAACCAGCAACAGCCGCACTGACTGATGGTGCACAATCAAAACTGCAAACGATAACCTCTGATGATACGAGCGTCAGTTTGTGGGACCCCATTCCACTAGAGCAATTAGATTTGCCCTGTTTAAAGTTAGATGCGGGTGAGTTGATGGCGAATGCATGTCAGGCTATAATTTAAACTCATCTCTACAGTAGATTCGACTTGTATGGCCGATGAATTCGCTCCGTAGTTGGGCGTGTGTGATCTCACGTCCATGACATAATTACACAAATGCTTGAACCAACTGACAATCTATGTTTGCACTATTCAGAGCCAACGCTGAAAAAAACACAACATTCTGCTTCTATTCAACCATGACAAAATCCACCATGCAGAAGCCATTGTGCAAGCACTTTGAACGTTTTGAGAACTCCTTACCTGTTCTAACGAAGTTTACTCATTTCGAATGTCACTGAAGTTTTGATTAAGCCGACACTGGAAATCACAGAACAGAAGACATCTCTTTGGACAGACTAATTAGGCTATGTGCGCTTAAAGCGGTGGAAATTCCTCTAGAAACTAGGCTTGAGAAAAGCTATATTTTTTTACTGCCGGATAGCACATTTCGGTGGAGGAGGAGTAACATGGTCATTATCCAGCATTAATCTTAGTAGCTGATCCATTGTTTACGGCTTGACGAGCCCGAGGATGCAACTTTATTTCGGGTTCATTGATTTTGCAAGTTACTGACGCCCGTGAAATTTTAGTGTGCAGTTTTTCTTTGCTATGCAGCGGCCACCAAAATTATGTTGAAAGTTGACATTTGGAATTCGAAAATCCTTTAGGCAATTCCACTTAATAAGGGTTTGACACTCTCTATGTTTTGTGCTGCAGAGTCTTCAGACGGTAAATCGGAGTCGGATGCCGTTTCGGCTGGCTGTGATGTGTCGAAGGTATTGGAACAAATGGAGGACAGGCGTGCGGAGAAGGTGAGGGTTTTATTTTGCCATTATATGGTTCCTTTCGCTTAAAATTAATACCTAGTAGTATTGAGAGTTCAAGTAAAACCAACCATGTTTGGTCGTATTAGCGTGATTTTTCCATATCGCTGGGTCGAACACCGTATCCCGTGCTATTGACGTGTACATTTATGCGGCCGTAATAAAGCGGAAGTTGTTACACGGAAGGGTATAAGATAGGGAGTGCACTTTGCTGGTGACCTGCCACTAGTCCCGTTTACCAGCGCATTTATGGACGGATCTACTGTTGTTACTATAGATTTACATATTTCCGTCAGAAGATTTGTTTCACGTTCTATGTCCTGCTACTTCCTTTCTCACAAAGAGCCCAATATGCCCTCGACAAGAGACTCATTTGCATATGGATTTGGATTTTTGGGAAAACGCTCTCGTTTATGATATTTCTCAACTGAATGTGCTATCCAAAGACCGCCTCACGTTTCAGTTGCTACGCTGTTCTAGATATCGAGTACATTTTCATTAAGGAAACTATTCACAAGGCTGCTGAGAACTCTCTGACAGCCCACGACCATTTTCGTCCTACTTGATGGGCCGCAATAAGGGCGATGTATCTGTCGGAATTCGTCTAATTTGGGCTCAAGTACAATATAAGGTTGGCGGAAACTCGGTGACTGCGCCTACCCGATGAGTCCCAATAAAGACAAAACCGGTGGTGGGCTGTCGAGGAAGTTTCAGCAACCTTGTGAATAGTTTCCCCTATAGCTCACTCTGCTCTTGTTTTCATTTGTTGTTTGCAATGGTGATCTACCTTCTTGTCTGTCCCACTGAAGATTATTATAATTCCGAGTCTTTGTATTAATTTTGTCATTTCGCACTCCATCGGGTTTCATTCCCCCGGTTGTGGCTTCTTGTCTACTGGATTAACTACCCTTGACTTCCTTGCGAAAGGAAAAGCCTATCCGGGCATCTCTTATCACCGTTGCTAGCGAGCGACAGTCGCGGTTTGTAGACATCGCTGAAGGGGATTCATCTCCAGTTTCTTGGGATGTTCTTGTCTACTTTCTTGTTTGTCCTTTGTTGGTTTTTAGCGTTATAAGGCATCATCATCGTGTACGCTTCACCTTCGTTGGGATCATTGCTGACTAATTTTCCACGGTTAGTTAGTTGACGTAATCTAAACCTGTTTTCTTAGCCTTTACAATCTAAGTCGCCGGGACAAGTAAGTGCCAGCCACCCTGCCTAATTCCGTGCACATAACTTTCTGTTCGGGATTGTGATATTTTTTCTAACTTATATGTCTTCAAACACCAAGCGTGGCGTTTATGTTGGTGCTTGGACTGCGCCGCTACAATGTCAGTTGTCAAACTGCTTGTGGTTGATTGTGACCAGCAGAACCTTTAGTACTAGTGTATTGTTTTTATTTGCCGCGTTCGGCCTTGTTTGCATCTTTTTCCGCCCTCTGTGCCAGGTGGACAAGGATCTTGTGAGTTGGTCCTTTGCCGTGTGCGTTACTGTCTTCATGTGTCACGGCGTGTTTCCGTTATGAGGCCTTTTCTATCGCCCTGCTTCTGTTTGAATGGCAGTTTGTGACCTTGAACACGTTCCCCATTGTTGGCACGGTACGAAGTTCGAGAGTTCACCGTAACCCCAGTCCTCGGTTTCCGGTTTTTGGTTGTAATCTGTTGAATCGCCTGACTAAAACAGACACAACAGCTCATTCTGACTCTGTTGTGCTTGAGCGCCTTCTTATTGATAAATTATTTTGTGTGGGTGTTCGAGTACATAATCAATGCGTGCCTTCCCCCCAACAGGGACACTTGCTTGCATCCGTTTTTGGGTAACTGGGTGGGATGAATGTGTCTATCATCATTTGACTAGTTATTCGGGAGACATGCAGGTTTCTTGCCTCAAACTTCCACATTGTCCATCGTGACTGGTGAAGTCTTTTGAAGTGTTATTTTTAATTATAGTTGCAATATGTTTCCGTTAACCAACATGCAAAGTGTGATCCGGAGGAATGCAGTGCCGGGTAAACCTTCCCCGTCGTCGAACCTATGCATGTACACATAATGTGGTGGACCATTCAACCATCTACATGCAGTGGGATTTTCCGTCATTTTCAGCCATCTTTTTCCACTTTTAATTACCCTTTAGTCAATGCATGCTTGGCGTTGGGTGGATGCTTGCAGCAAGTTTCTATGTTTCGTTCCTCACCAAGTGAACTTGAATTGAGGAAGATCTTTTATTCGTCCTAGTATTAGGATCTCTTCTAGACTTATGACTGTCGACCTACGCTAGGTTCATCAGGTGCTGCGTCGTTTCCTCACAAGAGACCTCTGTAAAAATATGTCACTACTCTTCCTGTAAGTTCAAAACCACTGTCTTCTCGAGCAGTGGCCTACTATGCGATCCTGAGAAATATCTGCAATCAGGAGTGGCTGATTTTACCTCTTCAGGATGAAAAATCTCTCTTGATAGCCTACTGTACTTATGAATGTACTTTCGATGGCCTGCGTTTTTGTGTAGGCGTTTAGTGTCGAAGTTTTGTTTGTTGCAGTTGTTTATCTCAATTTTAGTTCTCAAACAGATTTTCGATTAAGCGACTCCTCTGTCATGGCTGGTACCGTAGCCATCACGTAATCTGACAAACAAGCTTATCCATGCTAGTCTTTATTTCCTCTCGATGTGTAACTCAGATCGTGATGAAAATGAAAACGTTGCGCGTGGTCTTGGAATCCCAAGTTGGCTCACGATCAATGCCAATGCTTATATTGGAGTCCACTGTCGATGGCGAAATCATTAGTCCCAGTACATCAGTGAGTTCTGTCGGCATTCTTCGGTTACTATCCTGAAAACCTCAACTTTTATGCTTGTTGTAGTCACCTGGCTTTTCTACTCTAGTGGTGGAGATCAACGTAATGTAACTATTTGTGAAATCTTTACGTACAAACAAGAATCGCTTGTCTGTTTCTCGCAGCATACTTGCACGTATGTACAACAAATAATTCTGCAGATAAGTTATCCAGACACAATAACCACACCTTCAAAAGAATCTATTTAATTCGCCAAATTTCACTCTTTGAAACAGAGAACACGCACGCCTCTTGCCTAGCCATCTAGCGAAACGGACGACGTGAATTACGACTAATACGTCTCGCCAATTTCGTTTCATTTTTCAGCTGGCTGTCCCATGATCCTTACTATGTTTGTCACATTTCGGTGACCCCACACCACCGGGTCAATTCGTTCTATTACTCATGAGCTCTGTACCCCCATGGTACGGTGTTTTCAGCTGCTACAGTTTCCCTTACTGGAACATAGAGGTCCAAAGAGTACTAACAGATATTGGGGGCGATGAGTTATATGATCCTGAATCAATCTAGTTGTGTGCTGAAGCGGAAAGGAGGACAGCGACGCACTGAAGACCATGATTTTGATGAGCGAGCGCCACCGAGACGTCTATCAGTGTAATTTAACTTTGATGGGTTGGGACGCATGATTCTCTGACTTGAGAAGTGCACGTCCTTATCGCCCTAGCCTAGGAATAACAGAATCATCGCAAAAATGTGCCTCAGTTTTTATAGTTTAACGGTTCCATCAGACACGGCCAATGCTTCGCGGACACCGGTAGCTAGCCCTCGAAAGAATTAATATTTCTTCTACGGCTAGGGATAATGTTTCTGGTGCACAAGGTACTACGATCTCCATTGCTGCGGTCGTGATCAAAGGCCAACCCTGGCTAGTAGCATATATATTAACACACAACACTACTCAACGTACAACCACCAAGCCATCGCTACAACCATCGCTCCACCACGCCTCCTAACAACATACTAATGATGTCACCTCAATTGGTGACGAAACGTTTGCGATCAAATTGTCCAGCTCAGCGAACAAACCAACGACCATCTACCTTCTTATTTTTCCTACCGGTATACTCATGCTTGCACACCTTTCATCACCATACGAATAAAAGGTCCTCGTTGCTCACATGATAGCAGACTAACGGTCTCGTGATCCCGAAACGTTCGTTATCTGGCTTCCAAGGTCGACGAACCGGTCAGCTGTCACCTGATCATTGCCTTCCTCATGTAAATCTTAGAACGTCAGCGTCAGTTTCTTGGACAGTGGCGATCTCAGCCACAGCTTACTAGCCGCATTGATGTGAAAGATTAGTTGATCCGGAGTTCGTTCTATACCGTAGGCGAGACTGCTGAAAATGTTAACATCTCGCAAGGGAGTATAAGTTGTTGGACACAGGGAGATATGCGCATTCTGCTGTCGTATGGATGTGACGTTTATACATCACGTCTAAGGTAGTTGATTCTATTGGGCTACAGCATGTGTAGTACATGTAGTTAGCGAGAGCAGTTGTGCGGCAGCTTCCAAAGAAGGTCGCATAATAAGTCAAGAAAAATAGTTTTCTGTTTCTGTTTTACTGGAGTTCATCAAGGCGAACGAATTAGATAGATCACTAAGATCCGTCTCAAATCGTTGAAGATTCAGAAGAACGAAATTTTTCAATACCACTATGAAACACTTCATTTTAATGAATGCTCAAGCAACGGAACGGCAACAAATATCAGTATCAGTGCGATGGTTAGATTGGCTGCTTGAATTTCCATTGAAATGTCCACAGCATTCATTTGGGCTGATGGGCTCACCACTGATGAGAAAAATATACCGGAAGCATTATCGACAAACACAATTGGACACAATATCTCTCTGCGGAATGATTGAATCAATTTGTGGGTTAACTAGGAGAGACCAAAATAGCCATACGTTCACTGTGTTGATCTGGTGGGTTGCGTATGAAGCTTAATGGATTCGAGATCACGCAAAGTAAAACAATGCAGATGCCCAGTTCTTAGGGAATCTCTTCTGCACATATAAAAATTGACCCATATGGAGACCACTTTTAGCGCTCCCTCAAGAGTAATTTGTGTACAATGGAGGAATGAATTCACCATAAGTGTTTGGGAATCCAATTAATTAGCTGCTCCATTTCACTTGTGGTTGATTTGGTCCACCGACGTTTCAGATGCACGTGTCAACGTTCCACACTGGCTTCCTCTCGACTGGCAAGTTATGAATAAAAGCAAAGTACATGGTCCACTGCGACGATCCTGTACCTACTGATTACTCATTCAATAGCCCGAGTATATGACGGTTTCATTAAAACCTTGGAACCCCGAACGGTGCTACGGGAAATCGGGACATCAAAAACGTCACAAAATTATCGACATGATTGTTTGCCTTATTTATTTCACAAAGTTGCACGGTCATTGTCGCATGAGGTTTCTCAGCTTTCGAGTTGGGTTGCTTCTCTGTACTTTATAAGCAATATAGGCCATGTGTTTGCGAAGGACGGATAAAATGAGAATTGGGCTCATCGAAGGCCCATAATTACCGGCGGTTCCTCAGTTGAAATGTTTGATGTTAATCGTCACTAACCTCGAGGAACTCGGATTCCAGTGAATCATTCCAGCAACCTTAATAAGACTATTGTGCTCCAGTTTGTTAACCTAATTTAGGTCAGACCGATCCTGCAAGTGTGCCAAGTAGACTATGCTGGGTGACTCATCCTAATTTGTTCTCGAAGTGTATGTTGATGTGCTGGTGTCTCGTTCATAAACTGCTTGTCTCGTTTTTCCACACCACGTCTCTTTCCAAACGCGAATTAAAAGGACGTCATTGTGCTAATCGGGTGCCCGATCCTGTGCGGTATCAAACGTTGAAAATTTTATGAACCATCATTTCACTCTGGTGATGTTCTTATTCCTAGATGGAACTGAAATTGTCCGTTGACCTGTCACTCTCCTATTACAACGACGAACTCAACCAGTGGGAACAAATTCTGGAAACTCTCCCAGAGGAGGAAGATCGCATGTGGTCCATGCAGATTGAAATGTATACGACTAATTTGGAGGATTTGCTTGCCCAAGAAGACTTGGACGAAGTTGGATGCTTGCAGGCTTCTACCCAAACTATCCTACTTGTGTCCAGAGATAATATGGAGCTGATGTTATCAAAATCTGCCCTGGATATGCTGAGCAAGTTGGCACGAGTACGTTACTTTTGCCTTTGTACTGAAGCTGGGGGGTAATGCGTGCGATACTACGAGTCTAAACAACTGCCGCTCCTGATTGGTACTCCGATTTGCACTGAATATGTCGTCAGTTCTTCTGAATGTCCCTATTTTTCTGAGTCGCTTGTGCTACCGCCCACCAATCACCTGCATTTTTGGCAGGCAGTTCACTCTTTCTTTCGTTACCACACTTCCTAAATGAGTCGAGTATTTTGAGGGTCTTTTTGAATAGCTCCAAGTCAGTACGTTTTTCAGACAACTGTTTATAGGCCAGATCCTAATCCATTCTGTTTGCAGGTATTCATGAAGTTAAGGTTAATCCCTAAGGTTAATCCCTCACTGAACGGTTATTCTGCGAGCCCTGGATTTTTATGAGTATTTGGACGTAAATCCTCTGATACAACCCAGTGTTTGAATGCGGTGAACAGTTCGGTATTGGCGCTTCTTAAGGAAAACTGCTTATCTAGCTGTCTGTTTCCATGGGTACTTGTGACTAGGACTGCGAGGCTTTGGCATCGACGCATCTGTCGCTACTACATCGGAATAGTTAGAGTGTAAACCAATGGACTGGCAGAACTAGTGACCATCGTGCACATAGTATATGGATGGTTCACGACGTCACCACGCCATCTCACGGTCGTGATAACAACTGGTCGCGTGTGCACCGCCTGATCTGTCTGGCCTTGCGCCTAGTTTAAAAATCACTTAATCGGATATACACTAGGTTGAAACTACTGCTTGTTTAACGCACACATGCGCACACCACAAGTTGGTACCATTCGTTGAACCGTCAGAGTCTATGACGTATTCCTCATACTGTTAGGTGGAGTAGTAATAGTAGTAGTTGAGAAAGAATTCTGCTTCGTGTATCCCTTACTCACCTCTTCTTGGTCTTGAAGGCGGCAAACATCTACATCCACTGGTCAACTTAATGAAGCCTTTGCTCATATCATCTTCGGGATAAAGAATTTCTGCACCTGACCAAGAGGCCTGTTGAGCCGTGCAGAAATCAGAAGACGAGAAAATAGTCATGCTAAGATGTACCACGCAAATGTCAATGTTGTAGTGCATTTCACGGTTGAGTGATAATGTACTTACTATCCGGTGGCCTTGTATGCATCACAAAGCGTGTGCTTGTCGATATCCTGAGAGACAGACTTATTACTTGGTTGTACAACAAGCAAACAAGCAACACTAAGTCATGGCGAAGAAGGACGTGTATGAATTGTGGTTTCAAACTTTTAACTGATAACATATGAAGCACTTTTGGTCCCACACCCTTTCAAACTGTGGTGAATTTACAGCTAACTTTTACTCGCCATCCAGCATTCCGAACGAGAGGCATGTTGAGCTTCTTGGGTCTTCGAAGGTCGCTTAACTGCGTTTATTCGGGCTCAGTCTTCCGATTTGGGCACTGATGCCACCTTCAAGGAAGGTTACGTCTGTCCTTGTTGATCGAAGCAGTCGTGACAGATTTCGATAAAACCCATCCTTCTCAGTTTACGAACTGCAGTTTGTCGGGGCGTATGCTACCACGATAAACAGTCACCGTTAATCGCATCGACATCCATTGATCTTACTTGAGCCTAACAACTGTACAGTCCAGTACTACTCCTGGGGCTGATTACGGTTCCGGCACCGTAGACACCATGGGACATTGCATCAGGATCACCAGGTGAATTACTGATGGAATGTGAAACATCTGAGGACGTACTTGGCAGCTTGAGATACCCAACCGGTGCGAGGCCTTGTGTGCTTGCTTCAAGAGACACAGACAGAATGAGGAGGCTATTTTTTGTGCGAGATGACTGTTGTCCAATTCGATAGAGAGTACGGATATGGAATACTGGGACGTGAATCAGATGTTTTGATTTCAATGACCGAGTATTTTGGTCTGTTTTGTTAAGTGTTAGGGATAAGGTTAAGGAACCGGCTGATCGATTGATAGCAGTTCATCCTTTGATGGGTGACGAGGAGCCGTGGGTGAGGTTGGTTGATACTTCATGGTCCTTAAGGCTGACCGGGAGGATTTGGTTGAATTACTTTGATTCAAAAGCTTGAACTACAAGGAATGGTCCAATATTTAGCCTCTGATTCAAAAGTCTGAACCTTGAGGGATCGTTCCCGTATCCAATATCCCAATAGCCTGAGTCACTGGACTGAGGGAGGCTTGCCTACCTCGATGGTGCAGAGAGTAAGACATAACCGCCTTATTCCTAGTATGGCTGTGCACATCAGGAGTCTTCTGAGCAGCACGAAAATTTTGTTTTCAAAGTGTTTCAACTGTATTGAATAATGTGCCGGTGGTCACGGCCAACCGTCGGGCGACCGAAGTGTGCGAAACTCGTCATATCACACAGGGTAAGGACGAAGTTTGTTGGCTTAATCGGCTCGGTCGGTCAGTTGCTTATCAGTTGCAGTTCCTGTGCTGTACGGTTGCGCGGTACGTTCGTTTTCTCGAGAGCATCGAACGTGGGGCCCGTTTTGTTACAGGCACTGACAAATTGCAACTCCGATACAAATAAAGACGGGTTTTACGGACCTAGGGAATGAAAGCATATGATACGGAAATCGTGCTTTTGAAGATTATTGAGCAAAAACTCCGCAGCAGATGAATGGATGTGTATATGCAAGTCAACATATGAATCGACAGTTTTCGACGCATATGACAACAAGAACTGTAAAGCGCCCAAGAGCTGATTTCTGAGATATTTCGTTTGTCTGGCTTAGTTGCATTAAGCTCGTTAGGGCTGTGATTTTGGTCAGTTTCACATTAGGATAATTACTTGTCCCATTTTATAGTGCGTTGACTGAACTTTACTCATTATTGGTTACATTCTTTTTTATTTGAAACAGTCTTTTGAAGCCGCTTACAAGCAACAGGTGACCGAGTGCGAGTATGAACTTGGTGGACGGACAGCTGCACCATATCGTATTCAGAACCGAACCGGGTGGCCCATCACTCTGCGCGTGGATACTCATTCTCTACAATTAGTCGACCGATCTACAGTCCGTTGCGTGCGCAAATCGCTAGTTAGTGGCGCCTTGCGACCACCACTGAACGTCGTACAACTAGGACGCTTGGGTTCCCCAGTCGCCGGATCAGTCCCTTCACCATTGACTGATAAGACCGCAATTGAAGAACTCGATGATGGCCTTTACGTTTTACCGACAGGACAAGAGGTTGGATTTACTCAGCAAAGACAAAACTCACATGTACGTGCCCTTTTAGGAGTGCATTTTTGCTCGTGTAAATAGTTGACGACCGGGAATGAACTTGTCAACATTTTCCCACTATTTAATCCGTTCATGACGAAGGATGCGACCTCTTTCTGTCTTTATTTCATTCCTATGAGTATCTCTGGTGTTCCTCCTATCTAGAAAAAGTTGACGATTCGTTCAATGGCGGATAAAGCACCGCGTCAAGTTGTTCGAGTTTCTTGGTCTCCATCTACTTGCTTAAAACCCCCAGCGAAAAAGTCTGAAGTGTCGCTGCATCTTAATTCTGGTAACAATTTTCTGCTGCACCTACCGGGAGCTGTTGAATATCCCTCGGGAGGAGGCATTTTCAGAGATCCTGTACCATTCCCCGTTGTTGCTGAAGTTCAAACGCATTTGGGTATGCGCGTAATCTGCCTGCGCTCGACTGTCCAGGCAAGTCTAATGCGCGTATTATGGACTGTGTTAACTGTTATTCCCTTGGAACGTGCTAAGCTTTGTCGTTTTGGGATGCAGCACGTTGTAGAATTGGGTTTTGAAAAAGCCTTTTGCTTCCAGTTTACGTTTTATCACTTGCTTCTATTGCTTCTTAACCTACAGGTAGTGAATGATACGTCAGATAAACTATGTATCTATTCTCGCGTCTCCTGGGTATCTAAAGATGGTCGCCCGGGACGATTGGCTACCATCGAACCTGGAGAGGTTTATGCTCTCCCAATTGAGATTGTCAATTCCCAAGAAACCACCGGTATATTCATTGGTCCTGACCTTGGCGTGTAAGTTTCCTCATCCTTCTAGGTGAATTGCGAGATTTACACGTACAACCCTATTTTTATCCTAACCGTATCGCTTTCTCCTTTAGTAAGGCTTTTATTTTACTGGTTTGGAAGCTTCGCTGCTGCTAATTGTCGCACTCATCTGGTCTTTCTCCACAGGACTACTATGTCGACCTGTGCTGCTTATTGGCCTGAAACGGCATGTTCGACCCATGATACTGGGCATTATCAGGAGTTGGTTTATCTCTCCCCATTAGCTGAGCGATCTGGATCGACAGTCAACACGCAGGCAACTTTACAAACCATTAGTGAGGCAGTGGCTAAGAGTGCTACATCTAGTAAACCGAGATTCAATTGGCCTGTGCAGTTCATCCAGTGCAAGTCCAATGCATCCAGTTTGATCTACTACTACACAATCACAACTATGAATGGGAAGCCTTCTGGTTCGGGTAGTGAATCCCAACTTCGTGCTGCACAGATGGAAAGAATCACGACTACCGAGGCATACGAGTGCTATGTCACAGACTTTCAAATGCTCATACGAAACTCCGTTGTGTTGCACAACCAGCTTCCCATTGCACTCAACTATATACTGTCGGTAAGTACTCAGTTTTTTAAAGCATTATCACTTTGTCGTCCTTTAAGTCGGCCAAGAGTATCCAGTTGTTAGACGTTTTATCTTACTTTGCGTTCGCACCCGAGTCGATTGGTTCTTAAAGCACCTGGACGTTTTTCAACTGCTTTACAGCTATGCAGTTTGTCGTCGACTAGTCTGCTGGTACCTCAGTTTGTGTAGTTGATATCTTAATTATTTGACTGATTTTTGTTTGCTTTGTGACAGTGAGCGGTTGCAGACATTGTAGTGAAACCATTGAATAGGACAGTAAATACTGGCGATGGCTCAGCTTGTGCTTAGCTGGGTTTCATGCATACAGTGTGGAGCACGTCACCTTTTCCGCTATTGTGTATTTGTCAAGATTTCTGCTGGTTCCATGGAACCTAGTGAGATCTTGTCTGACTTGGGAGCATCTTCATGAAAATTTCCAAAACGGGACGGCGGAAGCGGTAACACTCCTTCAGCGTCGTATATTCTTGGTTCGGATATCTATAGCCTTTGTGAGATCAACTTTTCGGCTGTACATTTTGTTAACTGAACTAATCAGGATGTGCTGACGTTGTGCATCTCGACTACTATCTGTCGGGATGCACGTCTGCTGTAACAAACGCGCAAACATAACAATATATTAAGATTTTTAAATTTACCTTCTCGAAGGTAATTGATGAAGTAATCAAATGTCTTCCTCAGCTACGTATAAAAAGAGTGTACATCCGTCTAGTCGCATAAATGACAGTAGGGACGAAGTACGAAATTTTTTGTGAACACCTTAATCTCTTTGTATATTTGCCCGGAAACACGTTTGCTTTCTTCGGAGATGAACTCGTATATCTGACCCACCAATATGGATCTAAGCCCGTTAGTCGGTCCTGCATACGTGAATATTAAGCATCCTAAAATCTTGCAACGGAATGTTCGATTTCTGTCCCTTTCATCTTTCGAGGAATCGGGTACTGTTACTACCAGTCACGCCAAATATTTTCAAATAGAAATGCAGTACTGTATGATCCATCAGAATTCTTGATGGTGCATTCTGATGAAGTCCTAAAGGATGAAAAGGTCATATTACACAGCTGTTTAACCTGGAGCAGTAGGCTACCATTCCTCTGTTTGCACTCGCAATTACTTATAGTGAGTTGGGTCAGCTGGAATCGCTGGGACCCTTTGAACTGTACATGTCAACGCTGTACGCAGTTTTATATTTTACTGCACCCTATGCGGTAGACTCACTTTCTGTTTAAAACAGAGCCTCATGTTATCTTTCTTTACTTTCACCTCCAGGATGGTATTGGCGAAATTCCTGCTGGTAATCATTTTACGCTGCGGACTGTCAATCCATCAAAGGCTGCTGTTGACGTATGGGTGAGTTTTTTGAGGTTGACAATTTCACAGTGTCTTGTTCATATTTCCCCTAGTTGAGGTTCTCCATACGCGACTTTGAGTGACGCGTAGGTTCAAAGAATGGGGTTTGGAATTCTACAGCACTATTTACGCAAGAGCATGCGAATTTATACAGCAAACCTCAATTGTCCACGTTCGTATTGTCGACACTTGCGTACAGCAAACCTCAATCGTCCACGTTCGTATTGTCGACACTTGCACAAGTCTGTCACTGACCGACACTGTGCAATGCCAATATCCGCACATCAAACAACGGTGAACGGAACGTTGGTTCAACAGTGTGGGTTGCTGTCGTCCCTTCCGACGACAGTCTCGTGATCTGATTGGCGGTGGGATCACACAGAACTCATGAGGCAAGGCAGGTTCAGCAAACCGGACACGATCGCGAATGGGTAGATGGGTCAGCTGCGCAAATTCACACAACCACCCCAACACAATTGTCGAATGGAACGGCCTTTGCGGCAAGGTGAATGAGCAAAACAAGTGGAGATTAAAGGTGCATGGGCGGAGTAAGCCAATGAATGGGTTATGAGGTCAGGCTAGATTCAGACCCCTCCGTATCATATCTGGGCGAGTCATATACTCTACGCTTGTTTATCCGTTATAGGTTCTCGTTACGCCGCTTGTTCACTTCCTGCTGATGGCTAAATGTACGCTGCCATTCCTAGTTTCTCCAGAAACATCAGTTTTCTCGTCGTTAATTTGGCCACGCAAGACATTATGAGGAAAAATATAAAACGTGATGGGATCAATTAATTTGTTTGTGTGGATAATGAACTGCATGCTTCTGTTTGACAACTGATTTCCAGGCAGTTTTCGAAGTTCGGCAGAATATCCTTGTCTGTAAAACTGTCTTCTTTCGTTAAATATTCTATCATCTTGACGATGCAATACCCGTGGTGAGGGGCAAACCGTGACCATGTCTTGTTCTAAACGAATGTGCACCTTCTCAGCTGAGTGATGGCAACCGCCCTCGCGGGTTTGCCAGTCATTTTGTCGCGTCTTTGTGTGAATTTTGGACCTCTTCCACTTGATCACTGCTTTTCCGCAAATCAATGTCATGAGCGATCGCAAGTCAATCGGTTTGGCAACCATGAGCCATGTACGAATGTATAACCGTTCCTGTCGCTGCCAACTGTGGCAGAAAGTAATGTAGGATACAGGGGTGTTAGGAAGCGAATTGTAGAGAAAATCGAAAGAACTAGTTTATGGTAGAGAACAGCAGTGTTGATATACCAGCGCCCCTCGTTGTGTGACATCGCGATGTCAGTTGATGACTCTAGCTGGTGATCCGCGATGGGTCGCTGATACCCCAACCTCACAGATGACGCACACCATTTTAAGCAAGACGCTTTGTTGTGTTTTTCGTGCTCTGCATCTGCCTTATGCTTCCCGTCTTTTGGTGTCTTACAATCGGAACCTGTCTGAGCAAACAGGTCACGGCGATGCGATCGTTCGCTTGACACACGGAATACATCGCCAAGTCAGCGAAGTTTACACGTCCATTGAACACACAGTCGTTTATCGTTGCACTTAATTATTGGTAATTTAATGTCTCTATGACAAAAGTTGAATATTTCGAAGATACCGCTCGTCGAAGACAAATAGCTTACTTTCATCATGGGTCCACCAAGATTCACAACCATAAACCAGCGCTTAAACCTGCAACCACTGGCGCGTTTCAGACTCTGTCTTCCACCAGCAGGCTGCTATTTTGTATAACCCAGGTATACTTAAATAGGAGGAATACAGAACGGACTTTTATGATACCAACAATAAAACGAATACTCTCATCAGACGTGATCCAACTACCCAGCTAAGCTGATCTGTTCACCAGCTCTTGTGGTGCTGATACCACCGCCAGCTCTAGCGATGAACCCGCCCAGCATGGTGATCGCTTTGCACTTTTAAGGGCCACATCAAGGGTTGGAGACATTGTCAGACATGGCCCAGTCACACCCTGAAGGGCGGTCGTGCATCCAAGCTGCTGCCTTCAATGCATAGCTCATTTCCCGATTCCCCCAATCAACAGTTCATTGGCAGTGCTGTATTTACGCACCAATTTTTTAGCTCCTACCTCCAATGTGCAGCTACCAGCTCCACCTCCACAAATCATGGGTGAATGAAACTGTGGCACCTATAGCTATGTGCGACAGGTACACGGTTCTTACAGCTTATTATCATTATTATTATTATTACTGTCGAGATTGATGTGGCCAACTGCTATGGTTTCAGTCTGAGTTACGGTTGAGAAAGCGCACGCACTTCTGTGGTTGAAGTTTGTGCAGGCGATAAATTAACGGTGATCAGCGCACAGTTAGATAGAGCGGTTGTCGTCATCCATCCTGGAGCACATCTACATCAGATCTCTTGCCAATATATCTCTTGTGCTTTTGAGTTCATCCCTCTTGGGCATTCAAACCGCAAGGTGGAATAATTGCACCTGTACACTTTGCCTTCCACAACAATCTCCACGGCATCCCACAACAGCGCCACCATTTTTGCATACGCAGGGATAGCAAACAGATCTAGGATTTGGGGTCATTGATTGAGGATTTTGAGTCTGACTACACATAGTCTGGTGTTCCTAGGAATCCAGTCAAGCAGAGCTTCTTTGGCTCTCCTACTCAACGTAATATACAGACCATAAGACAACGGAGCGCCGCTTCTGGATCACCCAGCATCCTGAGAGGGGACGGTGAGTAGGCTGACCAGGACTATCTCCAGACGTTTACCGTAGTCGGTCGGGCACGTCGATCTTTCAAACGGTAGTTTTACTGCTTATACCACAAGATTATCTCACGTTTTTTCGCCTTTACTGTAAAAGTGCGATTTTGCGGAGATGTACTGACAATTTGAATGGATCTATGGAAGGTACAAGTAGGGTATTCCACGATCTTAATATCTTCATCGTCCGCATCACATTGGTGATCCTAGTGCTCGGGAAATAGTTAACATGAGTCCGTTATATGGCTCCGGTTTCTCACCAATGTCTTCATGACAATCGTTCGGCATTGTGTTTTGCTTCGAATTTTGTTACTTTTTTCACAGTTAACTTAATAGTTTACTCCAACGTTATGTCTGGTGATAGCGACTGTGGTAAATCAACAAAGGATTGTTCCAGATTGCCGACATGCCCCATGTTAGAGGTATTTTTATTCTTTTACTCCCAAAAGTGGTTTTGAAGGGAGGATTGTCCAATTGTCTGGGACAGTCTGCAAAAATGCTGCAGGGCGCACTGTATGGCCTAGGGCTGGTTCCCCAACTGCCACTTGCCAGTCGATTTCACGCAAAGGTAAAGCATGGCAAACTCGCGTAAAGTTCGCTACTGAACACTGGTGCGCTATTCCAAACATTTTTGGGGTAACAGGGTTGTCTTATGGGTTCCATTTCGCAATTTGGTTTGATAAAGTATGAACTGATGGCTGGGTGTTCGTAGTTCGTGCGCCAAGAATTAGTGCTGTCGGACTCATCCGTTGTCGTCATGTTACGAACGACTGTCCTGTTGACGTCCAACTGTACGCACGGAGTTTCTTGCACGTCAATGAGGAATTGCTCATTTCACAGCCCCAGGGTTGTGTTCACCCAGTAAACCCCATGTGTATTCGTTTTACAAATTTCGCTCCATGTTCTTGCATTGCTTTCTATCGGAACCGTGGTCATATACTTTCGATGGAAGCTTTTATTCTGAGAATGCATCATGTGGGATCCAAACCGTAGTGAGTTCCGATAACACCGAGTCTCACGTATATCGCTAGTGAACTGCTCTGATCCGAACATATTCTAATCGAAACTTAAAAATTCTCAGTCAATATCAGGTAGTGTTGGTATGTGTCATCTTGTGTACTTCGGCCTAATTCGCGGTCTTTTCACTGTGGTGGAGACAAAGTTCGTTCCTTTGATCGTCTTGACGTAGGCATTGGGGTGCTATTCCGGAGTACTCTGTGCTGTCCGGCCACAGCTGGATTCCAATTTGTTATCATCTCTCCACCATCATCGGTGAATTTCTTTCATATTTGTGAAAACGTGTGTTTTAAATTTCTTCATCTTGTGTCTCTATAATTCACCCTCAGTTCGAGTACGACAATCATGTTTACCGCGCCAAGATACAGATTACTCCCAATATGGACGAACTTACGGTTGTCACATTTGAGTCACGTGAGGGCTATGAACTGCTAACTTTGGTAAGTTTTGTGGCACGTGGATCAGATCGCAAGCGCTAGTTAAATCGGCTCATAGTAGATTCGTATGGAACGATCCGCTTCCGGTATCGGCCATTATTTTAGCTTCTCTGTACGATTGATTTCCCGACACAATCAAGCAGTAACTGGCGTTCGATTTTACAGCCGCGGTTGCTAACGTTAATGCTACGTATGATTAGCTGTGACTCACACAGCGAACATATTGGTACCGAGTCTTCTGTATGCTGCCGTTTCATGCATCACAATTTTGGCTGCTTTTTGGGGCGTAACCCAGTAGAAAAGGTTCGATGACTATAGATTGTCATGAGTTCAATTGCCGCACTGACCTTTTTATGTTACATCTTGATTGACGTAGTCTGTTCCTTTTCTTTTCACGAGGTTGCCTAAAACCCATAAATAAGAGATCCAGATGAGTCGCACGCTGATACAAAGCACTTTGGAGATGTTTGATGATGTCGTTTGCTGCCTATAGCTTTCCCGAATGGTCTGATGACTGCTAATTTTCTTATTTGTGGCGGCTAATTTCGCCATTCACTTGCTGACACCCTCTATTTCCGGTTCATCACCTACATAATAATTTTTTTCCGCGTATTGGCAAAGTAATTTAGTCAGTGTCAGGAGCCGTTGGAAACGTGTACTTTTCAAGCATTTTAGACGGGATAAACACTAAGGGTTAGTCCGCGACTTTCCAGAAGAGATGCAGCGATCTCAGTAATGACTGTCCGCTTCCAGGAAATAACATACACCTATCATAGCTTTTGTCCAGGGAATGGTACAGCAATAGGGTTCCAAAAAGGCTGGCTGAACTTAGGTCCAGGAGCATCCGGCTAGAGGTATATGGTATATTATTTGTTAAACGTCATGTTAGGTTCTGCAGGTTGGACGATGCTATCGTGACGTGTGTGAAATACGGGGGATGTTGTTCGCCCTTACGTCTGATACGAGTGTTTCACGAGCCGTATCAGCTGTTAATTGCTGTTAAGGCCCTACTTTTATGAGTAATCACCAGTCCATTGTCTCGACAAACTTGACTGTTGAATATTGTACTGCAGTTCTAGAGCTTTCGGATTTTGTGGACTTCTGCTACCATGATGGCTTGTTTTGTGTACTTGTTGGCTAATTAAACGGATGCGCTGTTTTAAACCTGGCAGAGAATTTCAAATTTACAAGCGTAATTGGAGGCTCAACTGGACTGTATTTATAAACAAGCGCCCCAATTTCCTCCTCTGACTATTGCATTTTGAGCTCATCTCAATGTACGCTTCAAGTATGAGCCTTGTCATAATGTACATGTAAGCTGAAAAAGATGTGCTGTTTACCAGATTGCATCATTCACACACTCCATCCCCGATTTTTCTATTTTTGTGACCCACATCCTTTAGAATATTGCCAACACCTGACTCTGTCTCAGGTTTTGCTTTGACGTATGTTACGCGACTGATACCATATCAGTACTGGGTGTTCTCTTCTCCACTTAAGCGGCTACGGAAACCAAGGTGTACGCTTATAAAAGGTTGAGTCATACAGAGAACACAATACTTTCTGGGGCGGTCAAACTTACGGTGTCGACGAAGCTGCTTGGAAATGTGGCTATCCCTGAGCCACCCATAAGGGTAATAAACGAAGTTGTGTCCTCCTCGCCTTGACCCGAGAATTCGCTGGCTCATAGTGCCTGTTCATAGCTATCGGTGTGTCCTAACATCAAAGTGTATAGGGACGTGTAGCAAGCGAGGTCAAGCAATGCTTTAATCCTGAGCCTCCTTCACCCTTCCTGCTTAAAAGGTGTGCTGACATCCTTAGTGAATGGATGTGTGTTCTACCCACGGATTGAATTTCCATTTTGGAAATACTTGGCTGTCATTGGTCTGCTATGAAAAAGAAAACAGTAACAAAGAAAGGCCAATCCTTTGTCTCCACCGATCGGAAGCTTTTGAATGAGTGCTCCTGAATCCAGCGAGAGGTTCGCTGTTGTACCAGAACTAGCCACAATTTACATATTATTAATTCCGTGTCATACTAGACGCTGTTCCATCCCTATTTCTCTTCAGCACTGGTACAAAAGCTAATGCCATATTCCTGTTTGTTAGCCATAATGATGCTTTGGGTACCATCGACAGTTACTACAACTTTTGGCGGACACGGGTAATGAACAGAATCTTGTCAAGCTAACTATGACGGTAGACCCGACAAAATTCGCAAGCATGGGCGGCCCCTTCCCTTCTCCACTTCCCACTACTAAAGGGTTGTTTTCCCCTTTTTCTCCTTGCATGTAAGGAACATGCACCATCCCTGATTTTCTCATCCAATACAAACGCGCCTCGGCTGCCCCTTGTGCTCACTTCGATTACACACTGTTATCTTATTTGCTTAGCGCGTTTATGGAAGGATATTTCTGGCGAATTTTCACACTTGAATCAAATTAACTCAGTATTTACACACAATACCATATCTATATGCTGAAAATTCTCGTTAGGGTGGATAAAGTTTCGTCTGTTTCTGTTGACAAGGCCACGTTGATCTTCCCGGCACCTTTAGAAACTACAAGAGTTTTTGAATGAGCAGCTCTCCAACAAGTGCCTAATTTTTGTGATGGCTTAAAGAAGGATCGGTGTCCCGACGTGGGGCGGAGCAACTAAGGTTTCTGTTGGCTCAGCAATGATAACTTCTCGAATGGTTGCTTGGATTGCCTACTTCAGTGTAAACGGTTTCTTTAGCCTGAACACTTGGGGAATTTTATCCAATCGCTTCTAAAGACTTGTCCTCTATCCCAGCTTGATGGTCTCTGGCAGTTTAGCCGCAACCTAATCCGATCTTTTTTTCACTTATACAGCATTTGGGATTGCGCAACGTCTCCAACCGTGGACAAGTCGAGCTCACATTGTACGCACCTTACTGGATGATTAATAAGACGGGTAAAGACTTAACCTACAAGGTGAATCAAGCTGTTGCGTTTTGTTCAATTGTTCTTTATTATGCATCGTTGAAACCAACCTTTGATCATGCAATTGTGCGTTAGTTTCTCGTGGTTTGATCGTCCAAGTAACCCTTGATCGGAGTGATTTTATGCTTGAGTGACGTACTAATTGGATGGGTCGGTTCACACACAAGCACATCCGTTTACAAAATGCACTGTATAGGTATGCCTCTATAGGTTTAACTTACTTCCTTGATCCAGTCGGATTTACATAACTACCAAACTGATGAGTAGGTAGATTGTCGCGATGGCAACTGACCAACCTAATAAAACAGTTATTCCCGTCATTGTTTTTCGATATGAATTCGGATGTCCTCTCCGGCACCGTTCCCATACTCGCATTCGGTTTCAGGCTCATTGGTTGTGTTGGTAATAGAAGAAAAATCGACACAGAAGCGTTTAAATCGCGTTCAGTCTCAACGCAGACGCATTGGCGCTGAGTTTTCTGAGTGGTGTTTGATTTATCCATTTCTTGGAGGCTGAATTTTTATATTGCCTCGATCTGTGCTGCGTTACACCAGTATGCAAAACACCATGGGAAAGTGATTCACGCAACCAGCTTGCACACTGACGTGATCTAATGGTTGGCCTCATCCGGTTCTTTCGGTACCTGAACAATGCAAACACTACCTAACCACTTTTTCCACATGACTGTTGTTTGACTTTCACATCTAGTTTTCCAAGGTATGTCGCTACAGTTCCATCCTGTCCACTTCCATTCGGGTTGAACTCAACGTGTTACCTCACCCCAAAACAGTTTAGACCCGTTTCCGTCAACATCCTACGTCTGTGATTTCATTGGTCGTTGAACCTTTCCTGTTTGCTTCATGACGATTAACTTTCAGTCGGTTTGTTTCATCTCGACCTGCACGAGCGCAAACAAAGTCATGTTTCATTTAAACTTCGGACCTAATTATATACTAATCCTTTCAGCATGATGGTGATTTCGGTTGATTAATTGTGCACCGTTCAATCGTTTTTATTGTTTGAATTCATTGGGGTTACCTGCCTGATACACGCACTATCGCTTGTTAATTATTTGATTCCTTTGTGACCCTTACTATTGTTCTTGAACGGAGTCCATTGTCTGTTCGTTTCAGAGGTTTCCTCATAATCGGCAGACGCACTTAAATATCGTGCTCTTTCATTTTCCCTTATAGTCAACCGAGGACACGGAAGTCAACCATCCAGCATCGTTCCAAGGTGCTTTACTGTTTTCTTCACTTGCAAAATCTGTCTTCGGCAAAAGAAAGGTACACGGTCATACTTTTTAAACTGCTTTGGATATGTTCCAGTCATTTTATTTCTACCGTCATTATGTAGCCTTCTGTTCCACAACTGCCTTGGTAACTGCTTACTGATACGAGATAAGGTGGTGTTCCATTTCTTGAACCTGTCGGATGTACATGATTTTCATTTCGCGGAACTTCTACTCCATCCACTAGTCATTTTATTTTGCAACTAACTATACGCAAAACTGCGCCTTTGTTGGATAGAGTATTTGTCTTTTTGTTTGTGTTGTGTGTACTTGCGTTCCTACTCCAAAATATTCAAATTGCATGTTCTGTATGTGTGATTTCACTAATCTTATCCACGTGTAACATTTGGAATACATCGTAGTACTTTGCATTCTAGTGGTGGGCTGGTGACGTTCAAACGAAGTTTCGATGATAATGATGGTGATGGTATCTCACATCCTTAACTCTGTCCTCCCTCAATCTAGATTACTCAAGCCAGAAAATTTATCGATTCTTGTGACATTTTTGTGATGGGACACGTAAGCCAGTGGCAACATGTTGATACTACGAGGTATGGCATCAACGTCATACTTCACTTTGTGGTTCTGAACTGGAGTTCTGCTGTTAATTTAAGGTGACCTTGGGCCCTGCGCTTTCCGCTATTGTACCACTACATGGTTCAGTATTTTACCAAAGGCCGATGAAATCTACTCACCACCATACTCACTAGGGTCCTATTCGTGTAAACCGACTGTCCACTACCATATTTTTGTTTTCCAAAACTTCACCCATCGTCTCGTAATCAGTGGTGTGGAGTTCATGCAAGTAATTTAGGGGTCAAGTTCGCACGTCAGTTTTCTGAAACAGGTCACAGTTCGGCACTCGCCATTTGATGTACAAAACACTCCTTTTTAAGAAAACTCTCAAAATCGATATGTTCAGTTCTGTATTTTGATAAGCATATCCTGTACTTTATTTTGTTCGTTTGGCACTGATAAATATTTTATTGTGCAACGAATTCGCGGTCGCACTTTTTTGTACCTTACCACTAAGCAGGCTCATTCGAAACATTGAATTTTCGAACTCTCAGTATTATCCTGATTATCGCCAATATGTTTGTAGTCTTTATCCTCTCCGTCTGATTTACTCCGTGATCGCCCGCATCTTTTGGCCCGGTACTGTAATTGCCCCTCTTCCAGCGCCCCCTTAGTGCTCATATTCACACGTCTAGTGAAGAAGATTTAGACGCTGAAAACATCAGTCCAATCGAAGTTGGTTCTTCTATGACGGTTTCCACTGTCTCTGGGACGGCGCGCGTTCGATCGAAGTCTCTGTCTTCGGCTTCGCTCCGTAAAAGGCTTCATTGGGGCAGATCCGCTGGACGCTCTGCATCTAACGCCAAGAAATCACCCCACAAGAAACCTAATAAGACCAAGCTTCAAGGGAAACACAAGGTGCTTTTCCAAGTAGCACTTTACGTTTTCGATCACCACTCGCGCTGCTCACTGCTTTCGTCCAAACACCCGCGTGTGTTGTCTCGGTGCTCTGTCAAATTGGCCTGTCCGCTATCCCGTTTGCTATGCGCGCTGTTCTTCCCCACTTCTCTGTATATTGTATCCTCGCTTCTAACCGACTCTCACTTTTATCGTGGCTATTGCTAATCTTCACACAATCTTTCGTTTGTGCATTCTCGAGAGTTTGCTTAGTTATTTTCTTCTTGGAGTTTTTGTGTCTTCATCTCACGTCTGAGCTGTATCCGGAATGCGTATCACTGATATCGTGTATTTGTTTACATGGATCGCTGTCCAAACATCGTCTCACTGTGTCCCACTGAGTTATGTGATCCTTTCCGTCGGATAGCTTCTGTGTGTGTCTATCATTATCCCGCGTGCACTTCAGTTATATCTTTGCTTTTTGATTGTCTCCATGTTGATGCTCCCTAGCCTTGGTAATCGTACTCCTCTTTACCATTGTTGTTCAGTTATCCATTAATTTACCGTTTCTGTATTGTTCTTTCCCTTAGGCAAGTGTGAAGATAGATGATTCCAACTGGTCTGACAAATTCTCACTGGACACAGTCGGAAGTTCGGGTCGTGTCAATTGTAAAACGAAACAGAAATGGTCCTATGAGGTCAGTCCCCATAGATTTTCAATTTCTGGTTCCGTTTCTAACTACTGTTAAGGCAGCTGTAGTCAGCGTCGGATTCATTGCCATGGATGAGCGGCACCACGAAATATTTTCCCGGACGATGGTTCTAGTGAGTGGCTAGCGCCTTTTGGACATGACAAGCACTTCCTTGATTGATGTCTAGATTTTGAGGAATGCATCACGGTTCCGCAGCCTAAGTTCACTTATCAATAATATCGTGAAACCTAAATATAACTGATGGAGTCACGCGGTGCGGTTTCGCCATTCACCAAAACATCTACGAACCGTTTTGCAGAATTACGTTTCTAATTTTCACGTATGTTCCACTGAATTATGTATAACTTAATGATAACCCCAGTACCCTCATTCCCCCTCATTCTAGAATCCAATTATTTCCGTTCATCTGGAATTTATCCTATTATTTCCTTCAGTTTTGCTATTCTACTTTGAAATACCGTGGTCGCGTCCGTAGGTTTTGTTTGCTTTTCATAGAGGACTCAATCAGTTGAATCGTAAGGAAAATAAGATACATTGCTGTACATTAACTCATCTAACTCGCGATAACTAACCACTAAACTCAGTTGGGTCGACAACTGCCTGGATGGAGACTCCGCGATTCAACTCATCAGTGATTAATAACACTAGCAGACATGGCAGTGAGGCTAATGCATCAGAGCTGTCACCTTGAACTCGTAGCTGCCAAGTTTTCCACACTTACTGATCATACCGTCTTCTCGTGTGTAAGTCTCCCATCATCTTCCAATGACCGAAATTGGAACCAACTTACCCTTAGTGCTTGGTTTATAGCTGATAAACCGAGCTGAACTGAACCGAAGAGTAGGGAAATCAGTATCGTTCGTGTCCCCCGTGAGTTTTTTATCCTACGATGTCATGCTGTCACGTGGTGATCACCACCGAGTACGTGGTCCATACATAAGTCGATAGATGCCTTGTTGTCGTTGTTTGCCTGTGCAGCATCATCGCTGAAGTTGTGTGCTTACTCACTAGTCAGTGGTATCAGAATCTGTTTGCGTTTCTGCCGGACACCGACGGATTCAGGAAAATGTCTTGTTATCATCTGGGTCCATCGAGCCCAACTGTTCACTCAACATGTTCCCATCAGCTCGCTGGGAGATCCTCGGTCTGCCCTGCTACAACCACACATTATGGCTAATTGTGGCGGAATTCCCCTAGTCAGTGCAAAAACTGCCATACACAGTTCTTCCTAAAAGGTGAATTGTTACATCGTAAGGCTTTCTCAATACGCTCATTGAAATGCTAGACAACGATGCTACCAGTTCTATAGAAAGCTTTTAAACAACACTTCTGTTTTGCCTTTTTTTTCCGGCATTTTTGTCATGGCACGTACCCAAATTGTCACCTGATACGACCGTGAGATTACTCAGAGCGCTCACCATAGATAAACTTTTAGTCTCCTTCAAAATTTAGGCCATCCTTCTTGTACGACCTAAAGTGCATGATTTTGCTCTGAGTTGTTATATGGATGAAGGGTCTATGGCCTGACCACATCTTATTCTTCCGTTTCATTTTTATTGACATTTTTATCGCAGATTGGCGTCAAAATTGACTTGTCCAGCTCTGGTCTCACCAAGATTGTCACGCTGATGCCGTACTTCATGCTTGTCAATAAGTCCGGGGTACGTTCTTTCCATTGCTATTTCCTCTTTCCGGCAACCTCCCACTCAGTATTTCTGTTGATGAATACTCCTTCCTGCTAAATTAAATTGGATTAATGCAAGTTGTCGTTATCTCAGTCTGACATTATCATTCGTTCCTCCGTTGTCCGTGTGTCTGTAGTTAGTGTTTAGTTTTTACTCTTCGGCGGGGCTTCGTAACTCAACTAGATTATTCACAAAACTCTAAACTTGCTTTTAAGCTCTTAGGTTACTCCTTCATACTAGTGACCAGGTGATTGTCACTTTCACATCCCGAAAGGTATGTTCGACGTTGAATAATGTTTAACTCAGAACCATCGACTTCTCTGCCTGTTGGGTATCTTTTTATATTGACAAAATAGACACGCGTTACCATAGAACTGGTCTTATTTTGCGACATTTCACTAATTTTTACAGTCGTTTTAATCCTTATCGCCCTCAGATGCCTCAGTGGTTAGGGCGCGAATTTACTGACCGGAAGTCCCGTGGTTCGCACCCGACCTTTGCCTCTCGACTTCCCTGTCTAGGCTTGGGCAACCTGGCAGTATCCTAGCCTTTGTGCTTCCTTCTGGTGGTATGGCAGCTAGTCACCGAAATAGTGTTACAGCTGAACGATATAATGTATATCGTCCTCAGAATAGTTGGGTGTGGAGGGCGTAAGTTACAAATCTCATTGTACGTTATCTGAACCCCTTCACCCCGCTCTTCGATTGCTCTTGTAGGACGTTGGGCAACCTGGCAATATCTCAACCCTTATGCTTTCTTCAGAGTTCATTATGTGTACGCCTTGAGTTGGTTCACTTTACTCATATAATACCCTTAGTTGCGTGCACTACGTTCCCATTTTTATGTTTAGATCGACCTTGAGTGTAACGAGGTCGATGAAACAACGGGTGATGACCGATCGAGCACTGGTGAGTGGATTCGCGTTCCTGCGGGTGAGGCCGTACCGTTTTGGCCACGAGCCATAACCTCCAAGAAAATGTTGTTGCGCTGCCGCATAACAGAACATGTGGTCACCAACGTCTTCCCGTTCTACGAGTCCCATTCAATATTGATGAAATTACCAGGAAAGGTAGAGTCCTCTCTCGTTTTTGCTCGAATAAATTTTCATGTTGACCACTTTACTAGAAACACCATTCCTCTACGCGACTTTGAGACATTTACACTTTGGTGTTGCTTTCTCCATCACTCACAGTACGCTGGTGTATTTGTCGAAGTGCAGACAACAGAAGAGGCCACAGTAATCACGTTACAGCTTTATCAAGATGGAATGGCTCTAGTTCGCGTGGTGAACCACTTGGGTGACTGTCAGCCCGTTTATTTTCAACAGCGGTATGTTTCGGATAATTTTCGGTGTTACCCCATTAAACATGTACCCAACTCAGTCGAATAGGTTCCGTGACTTCTCCTCGACCCCAAGCAACAATTTTCACCACACGTTGATCTTTTCGGTATCGGTAGACGAATCAGCTGAGTTTGTACTGTCACCCCGGTGGAACTTTTATTTCGGATCCCAAGGCCGCACTTACGTACTTCGCGCGTGATGTCTATTTACGTCGACCCGAGACTGTTAACACACTTTGTGAGCCTGATGTTGATATCGTCCAGATACACCCATCCTTGAACGTTTATTTTCTATAATACAGTGTCTACTTGAATTTCTGCTTCTAAGATTTACCAACGCTTTGTGCTCTGTAACCCTGATGTCGCACTTGATGCTAATCAATAAATCCAGTTGCGTCTTCTTCCGCCACAGGCACGTAAATATTTCATGGAAATAGGCGGATTCAGCTACTGTGTAGGGTGACAATCCACTAAATGACTTCAGTGCCTGTCTTTCGAGCTGAATATTTCTTCGCTTTCCGACTAACCTTGTGGTATCTCTCTGGGCAATAACAGTGGCCTTTGGTGCGTGTGCTTTCCTCCTTGAAACACTGTTTTCTTTCGCTTCATATTTCGCACTGTCTGTTAGCAGACACCACCGTCCAGGGGACAATTCTATCCGTTGAAGCAATAGGTCTACACTTCCTTTCCCTTCAGTGCTAGCTTTTCTTCCATCTAGAAACCGTGTTTTGTTCAAAAGCTATTTTTTAACTGACAATTCATTCGAAAACGCCTGATGCATCTGCTCAGCTTTTATTATAAGCTGTCCCTTTATTTGGTTTATCCCCGCTAAATTTATTGATACCCATCTTCTTTTTAGCAAGCAGTGAGCGAAACTCAGAGGATCACACACACCTGCACTTTAGTCTGACTCTTCGAATCCCTGGTTTTAGCCTCTGACGGTTTCCTGGGCTAGTTGTTTCTGAGTTTGACAGGTCTGTGTGATTGTTGGTGTGGCATTGGATTTAAAGAGCTATGGATCTCCGATAGTTTAGTGAATTTTCTACTATACTATTACTGCTAGAGTTCACTATTCGGTGTTTAATACGTCATCATATGTAACCTCATGTGGTCAGTTTGGTTTGCATGTATAACTGTGTATTCTTTCGGGTTGCTATTGCATGCGGACTTTGATCTTAAAAGATGAGAGAAGAAGGTTAGTATGCGTTTATGGCAATCTGGATAAACAGTGGTTGAAAACTGAAGACAAATGATTAGACGCTGATTGTGTTCTCAACATGTTGATAAGGACACCCAACCATTGATGTGTTAGGTTTCTGCTACTTCGGACTCGTAGATGGCAAGAAGCAACACCTCTGAAATCAATGGCTAGGCTTCTTATACTTCGTCTTCACTTCGTGATTTGGCCACCTCTTCTTTATGCCACAACAGGGATGAGCGGAGCGTGACAATCAAAGGATGTAACTCAGCCAGCACTACTCGTTAGGCTTCTTTGCATCGTGTTTTTCAGCCACAGTGCATTACTGTTGCTCTGTATTATTTTAGAAGCTCATATCACGAAGCTGCGATAGGTCTCTGACAGAAGGTTGAATGTGTTTCGAAATCCAGGTTACTCATTCATGGTACTCTTGTAACTACCTAGATAGGTTTGTTAACCAATTCTAGAACCTAAAACAGTGATCATATGTGGCATCGTTACTGAATAATAATAATAATAATAATAATAATAATAATAATAATATCCCACACTCTGAACCTGACTTCTGGCCAACTACTATGATGTCTTTTACATATTCAGAGTCTTCCAGTTAGCGGAGCTCAGATTCAGGTTGAATAGACGGCGTGAAGTTTTAATCCATATTAAATTTAATTGTAAGATTGAACAGGAAATGTTGAGCTTTCATCACTTGAGTTCTGTTCTGCTTGTTTTTCGTCCTTCCAGAGGTGTAGATAAAGTACATCAATTGGATGCCGGTATGTCAGTTATGTATGCATGGGACTGTCCTCAAGCAGAACGTGAACTTCTATTCTATTGTAACAAGAACGATCGTCCCCAGTCAAACAAATTAACCGTGGTAAGTTTTCACACCGACCTTTGCCGATTTCCCTTTACGTATGTGTTTGATAGTTCGATCGCTATCCGTCAACTACGGTGGCACATTTTGAAGCCTCTTATTGCTGTTACTTCGTCAAAGATGTTTACTGGAGTAAAGCCTGTATATGTTGGTAGAAAGGTCAGCAAGGATAATCAACTAGAGACAAAGTGAAGATGAAAGGAATTAGTCCCAATCTGAGACTTTTTCTAAACAAGTTAGCTGATGTTACGGTTGTAGAACAAGTGTTGCTGTCAAAGGTGGTCGTAACTACACTGCTACTTTAGATACAGACTCTCGCAAGCGGATGCACGCATTTGTCCTTGTGGTGAGGACGTCTGATAACATTTACAGCGCTGAATTTGCTGACTACCAAACTGTTCATTTGGTAAATTGGAGTCCGTAAACAGCCTTCTTACCACCAGCGTGGTGACAATCAACTTAAACGTTTTATAGTGTACGACTGTCCGGAGGACTTGTAATGTGAATTAATTCAAGTATCATGATTGTCATTGTAAAATCAGGTGCGGCGAGACTGGTTATCACCGCAACTCCATGACTGTTGATGATTTTGAAGCGATCGTACATAGTTTCTGAGGGAGTACACTCGCGACCGATTCGTTGGGGTTTTATAGCATACACACTTGTTCATACGGACGCATTCACCACCTTTCATTTAATGATGAACTCTGTTCGCATGTTCTTGGCACAAAGCCCCCAACGGATCCATTGTCTCGTCTTTCAGGACATCGTTGAGGAGTTTTACGTAAACGACACCAAAGCGTATTGGGTTTCCTTCCTCTGGAATATGCAACGCGTTCTCCTTTTTACACAAGATGTGAATGCCGCTAAGAATGCTCGTCTGGTGAGTCCTTCGTTTCCCCTGTTCTTGCAATTCCTTTTAAAAATATAAGCACACGAGGGAACTGTGTTCGATTTTTGGTTAGGATGTCAGATGTCAGAGATTTTGGAAAGTTAACGTTTGGTGAAACTCACTATTAGGACCAAGTAGTTGCTGTCTGGTCTAATTCACTTTGGCGTCTTCCAGTGTTCCGCAAGTTTTAGCGTCCGTCCGATACTAGGGCGCACTGGCGCTTGATGTGAACCTGGAATTTGCAAGCAGCTTAGTATCTCAACATTCCCAGAAGTTTGCTAGATATTCTCTAATGTGCATCTACTTTTCTATGCTCGACCCTTGGTTTTAATTTAGATAACTTATATGTGTTTTCTACTCCAGAGCGCTGACCTTGAGAAAATAGAACAAGAAATCGTCGTGTCCTTACAGTCAATTGGTCTGTCTTTGGTGGACAACTACAATCGTACAGAAGTGGCTTATTTATCGATTACCAGGTAAAGTGATCTGACTGTTTTGACGCATTACGCGGTTTGATTCCCGTCTTCCATAAGTCCTCCAACAGGACCAGATTAACTGCGTTTTTTAACCGTAACCCCCTGCGGGAGGCCCCACTTTCGTGTGTGAATGGTTTGTGTCCTAATTTGGTGTCTCGTCACTTAGTAATGAAGTTTACTTGATAATAAACAGCTACTCGTTTTTCAGCCGTTCGTCATAGTTGTTGCTTTTATTTCACCGCACACAAATTCCGTTTGCCACTGTGATAGTTCGGGTGTCCGCTGGAGTCAGGTCAAACGCGGAAATAGATTAAAACCACTAAAGGCGGCCACTAGCGATAGTTTGGAACGAGCCTATACGGCCTACGTCGATCAACTACGAGTCGGTGAATCAGTGCGTGGTTTGACCAAGCTGACAGACGTCGGACGCCCCATAGAAGTAGACTTTGGACAGATGATGATGATCCAACCCGATCAGTGTGAACTCCGCCGGGCTTTTGAACCTGGTGTCTTCCTGCAGTACAAAACTTCCGCCAGTCAAATGCAAATTCATGCGAAAATATTTCGGATTCAGGTAAGTCATCACCCTTGAATGGTCTGGTTTATTGAATTGGCACATGCTGTCGCAGGGAAGAACTGTAGCGAATGGCCATTCGAGTTCATTGGCAAATAGTTCTACTGGGTAGCGAATTTCCTCGGAGGTTGTGTTGTAACTAATTGCCTAAATAATCGATTTTATGTTTCCCAATCTCAGTCTTCATTAATACGGACCGAACACTGACACTGCGCGGCTATTTCTAGTTCAAAGTTCAACATTCTGGCAAGTGAGCAAGTTAGCAACCAGCCTTAGGAAACCCCTGGGGCTCACTACCATGATATGACTTGTTACCACAAGGTTGTCTTTTTGTAGTCTGCTAGTGTCAATCAATTCATCAGACATGAGTACTATGTTGATGTGCTTTCTGTTCATAGTTTGGATATGTACTGCTTCCCATGGTACCGTTTCTCAACCCTCTACAATCTGTTTTTCTCGTTTATAATGAAGCTCGATAACCAGAAACTGGACTGTACATTCCCGGTGGTCTTGGCCCCCTATCCGCAACCGAAGTCTGTGGCTCTTGATTCAGGTAAGATTGTAGTGAAAGACTTTTTCGCGGATTGTGTGCAGAGCTCTATCGACTGTGTGCACGTAGTCGAAAGATATCTATCCCGCGCATGTCTCAGTATTGCAATCACAACCTGTGGGAGTTCCAATCGATGGCTGATCAACACTAGGACTCATTGTCAATGCCCTTTTACACCTCAGAAGATCCGCTAATTCAGTACAACAGATATATCGTTAGAATGTGGTTAGGAAAAATTGAGCTTCTCATCAATTGCTTGAATGTATTTTCACTCTAACTTTTCACTTTGTATTGCCCACCGAAATGTCCGATTCTCAATAAGTTGGGGAGCTCAAACAAAATTGCCTCAGTTAGGAGTCTGAGTACGCTCCATGTTTACACAGACTATAATTAGAGGTCGTCCATCGTATTCAGCTCCCACATTTTCACATTTTGTCACTTGGCTGTGACTGCTCCTTGATAACTTGCGCACACGTGATACTCTTGATTTGTTATATGATAGTTAATACGTATAGTCATGGTCTCATTACGTCTTTCATTCAACTCAACAATGAGTGAGCTATTACCCAGTTGCTTCTTTCGTTGAAGTGTCGTTAAAAGTGGTCTAGGCTGTATGTAACTGTCGATATGACTCTGCAGTAGGAACATCATGGTAAAACCTGACTCTAGTAGTCAAATCGTGGTCACAGGTTGAGTGAATAGTCCATCTACTGTCGTCTGATCAAGGCTAATTGGCTTCGGAATTCGAAGCCGAACCTCGTGGTTAACAAAGTTTTCTCTCGGTTGTTATGGAAACAATATGGAAGCGGGCCTACAGACCTTAGAAGGATGCCTGCAGGAGATGAAAAACTTGTAAAGCATGCATCACTATACACTTTTTCTCCTTTTTCGACACGCATGGATCTCATTCACCGAATTGAGTATGTGCCTTTTTTCATGTTACCCAGGACCCAAACCCCTGATTGAACTGTCGGCGATTATTGCTAGGACTGCTAATCCTGGCTCGTTCCGTTTCAAGTACGTGTTCTCTTATTGTGTTCTTCTATCTGGTTGTACGTTGTTTTGGTTTCAAATGTTGATAAACGCAGTTCAAATGTTTATTTTAGGGTCATGCTGTACATCTTTTGCATACGTCCTTAGAGAGATTCGCTGCCTTTGATAACATCTTTGTCTTTATGGAATTCCATATGGCATTTCCTACCTTGTTTGCACTCTTATTACTACATTTTCTCGACCAACTTGTCTTGGTGAATGTATGCTTAATGTATAATCAACTGGATCACGGATTCGTCCAGCGATATATAATGTTTTCCATGTTGATTGTTTGTCCTGTCATCGGAAACAAAAATGTCGTAATTACCTATCCCGTGGAAAATGTCGGTGGCTATGTGGAATTATTGTTATCTGTATGGTCTCTCAACCGAAATGCTGCCCGTCGATCCGTACTCACAGCGTCGTATGTTTTCAGATTATGCTTTCCGTCTACAAACTTGCTGGGATCTCAGTTGACTTCATTTCGTTTCAGATACTTTCGGGTTCTGATCCAAGAGATGATGCTTAAATTGGATCATGGGTTTTTGAACGATATGTTCGATTTCTTCAGTGGGAGCGTAACCAGAGTTTCAGAAGTAAGTGATCCATCGAGATCCTGAAGCTGCTCGATGAGTTAACCAGTTTTCTTTTCATAAAATATTTTTCGTTGCATTCTGACGTATAATCTGCTATTCTTTCCAGGAAGAAGCGTTCAAACAAGACTATCAGTTGATTCAAAATCGCCTGATGGATTCTCCCATACTGTTAACTCACCTACAAGATGGCAATCGCTCCGTGTTTGATAATTTTCACATATCACCTATCAAGGTACGTTTTTGTGGTGTTTTTTATTGTAGTTCTGTTAACTCTTTCAATTCCAACCTTGAATTTCCAAAAGCCTTGAATAATAATCCCCTTGTGGCATCGATAGTCTACCAGATGAACGTTTACAAAGTTTCTTTTCAGCGCTTTCTAGTTATAAACCACGCTATCCTCGTAGTCACAAACCCGGAGAGGTGAGTGGAACTATGCTATCAAACTACCTGAGCTTACTCTAAATGCTGAACCCGAGTGTCACCTAATGGTTCCGTTGTTGATATGCTGGCTACCATTTTGAACCAGGCTGTACGAAGTTTGTGATTGCAATAACAGACGACGGGGAAATTGTTGATGAATCCGAGTGATACGAACCGACGCCATGATTTTCTTCAAGTAACTCATTAAGCTTGTTTTCCGGTGGAATTGAGTGATTCTGTGCGAGTTGCAACAGCCTGTTCTCATGCGATGCATGCAACGATAAAGAACTATTTGGAAAATCCAATGCTAATTGCACTTTATTGGTGGGAATGGACATTTTCTACCGCGAACGCTATCGATAACTGTGTAAAACGATTATGCAAGTTTCCACAGTTCTTATGCGATATTGCGCCATGTCTCACGCTGACTTCGAAGAGAGACCATCCATAAAAGAGGTAAACACATCACTTTTGACTCTGAACTATTTATTGGGGGTATTGTATATAGTACCAACGGGATTTTCTTCTGGAGAGCAATGCCGGTGGAGTTCTCAGAGAATTGCAGTCGCGTAACTCAGTTTATTTCGGTTTAGCTTGTGTACCTTCTACTACAGGATTAGCTACCATAGGTTGTGTGTGCTACTTTTTCAAACGCTCANAGGTTGTGTGTGCTACTCTTATCAAACGCTCAGGAATGCCTTCCTCATTTATTTCTTTGCAGATGCATGTCAGCTTCTCTTTGACGGGCAGCAGTGATGGCAAAAATGTCGCTTTTCCCAGTGAAGTCCTCAACCTTTTCCTTCAGTCACTCGGTGTTGCATTAACCGATGTTCAAGATGTGATTTTCAAGTAAGCCTTACGTCTTTAATTGTCCTCGCCGATGTATGCATCTAGGACGGGTAGTCCAGCTGTCTGTATTCCATTACCAATACTGTCAGTAGGTTCGAGTGTGAGACCCATGATGAAAAAAATCCACGAACCATGCTGGATGATTGCGCCAGCAAATCCAGCTGCTCATTCGTGGAAATATCTTTGGAGGGCATTCGTATCTTGATGCGCAGTTTGGTCGCGAATGCAAGATGCTCACTCTATTGAACTGGTGAGCACAAGTGACTGAAGACTATCGGAATGGAAGCCGAGCGAACAGGAATTTCGCTTTGAATTGGCTGTACATCCCCAAGTTTTTTTTCTTGCATAGTTCTTATCGATGGTGGCTTGTCTGGCCACATTTTACATAATCGTACTGTACTGATGTGCAACGCAGCTTCGCTTCTGCCTTTGAGTGCACTAGCGCCGCGGCACGATTAGTTAGCATGAGCTCATTCAGTTCACTTCAGTTTGTCAGCTATGAACAAAGTACCATGGCTCCACCTGCCACAGCTTCGATCACCGGTAAGTAGGGGGCCTGTGCAGCACGCGTCCATGCATTGGAGCCGATGACATGTTCAGTTAAGCGGGGGCGAGATAGCTCAGTGGTTAGAGCACGAGTTTACTGACCGGAAGGTCCGACCTCTGCTTGTCGATTTGCCCTGTCTAGGCTTGGGCAACCTGGCAGTATTCCGGCCCTCGTGCTTCCTTCTGGTGGCATGGCAGTTATGTACCGAAAGGGTGATACGGCTGAACGATTTTTTCTTCATGTCCACTTATTTCCGGAACTGAGTAGCAACGCATTGAAGGCGATAGCTCTGATGTGCCAGCGCCACTGACTGTGCGATCGCGCCACTTCTGCTAGGGTCATTAACCATTGGTGAGTTTAGTCCCGGGGTCCTTATCCATGGAGGCAGCTGGTGTCGACCCGACTGCGTTGACTGGTTGGTGTTTCCACATTTCGTTACTAGGCCATACACTGTCATTCTCTCGGTCGCTTTCACTCAGTATAGGGCTGGGCTGAGCTGGGCGACTGGAACTCTACGAAACAGACGGTCTTCTGGCATGCGAAGTACATGTCCTAACCAGCGTAACCTATGAAACTTGAGTAATTCCGCTATCGTGTAACAATTCCTTCCTTCTCAGCAATGCTAATCCGATGTTACCACCAGACCTGACCAATGCTTCGGAGACACCGATGACCAAACACTGATATATTCCTTATGACCTGTTCCCGCTAGAGGCCACATTTCTGATCCATAAAGCAGTATAAATCGCACTGCCGCAGTGTGTTGAAGGTACCAGCTGAATTGTTCTTTGAAGTGTTAAGCCAGCACTCAGGACAACCAATTCGTGAGTGCATTCCTGTTCTGTCTTTTTTCGCATATCGTTTTGCTGAAACCTATCTTCTTCAGTTGTGATAAGGCGCGGCTGTGGCATAAAGCAAAAGCTTTCTCCATCTCTTTGGCCTTCGAAATTGACCAACGTTCTCTGTCATTCTTCAAGCTTCTGGTTATGTTCTTTGGGAGATCTGCGTGTGATCAAATCTTTTGGGGTTGGTAACTGATTATATTAGTCTATTTTTATGGGGCTGGTTTAGATGCGAGATACCGGCTAGGGTACTGGCAGATGGGTTGATCGCACTGCACCATTTGATGGGAGAGGTGGTGTGGGTGAGGGCCGGTGAGCGGAATGCAGCAAAGGCGAATGATGCTCCTCAGTTGCCCCAGCCGAAGAAGGGGGTTCGGTTGAGGCACCTCACCCGGCCCACAAGGTAGTGGAAGGATGTAGGGATTTGTTCGGAGCCTCTCATTCGGAAGTCTGCACCGCAAGATAGCGACTGTTAGGGTTTTTGGGGACCCTTTCCGGAGCCAATGACTCGATAGTTTGATTCCCTTGACTGCAGGCGGCCGGCCTTGGCCGAGGACGCAGGTAATGAGACATTACTGTCTTACCCGTAATGCGGTTGCGTACAACAGGTGCTTTTTGAGCGCAGCACCAGATTCTCTGGTTTTAAAAGTATTTCCACCGCGTTAAGTAATGCGCTGGTGGCCGCGTTCGGTTTTTAGGTCTGTCCTTCCTCGGGGGAAGGCAACATCACTGCTTCCATAGATATGGGCATGCTGGTTGCCTGGGGAAACGTTCAACTGTCTTCACACCGATCGCAGAGAAATAGACGACTTCCCCCTCAGATCAACTCTTAATACAATTTTTCGCAGCACGGCAGCTCGCTGTTTTTCGTCGGTCCTTTCTGGCATGGTTGAAATTCTGGAACGGTATTACAGTCAGTGTAGCCAGGAAGAACCATTAGAGCACAACAATATAGGGTTTCGGACTGCTCACTGGCATTCAACTACTCAGTGCCTTCGGACCATACCAATTCAAAATAGGATATGTGTGTAAATTAGGTATGTTGGTATAACGCTTCACTGGCGCAGCACCTGCCGATGTACTGTCCTATTTTTCCCTTGTACCTTTTTAGTGAGCTTTGCGTGCTTGAGAGTCACTGTTTGGAATGTTAGCGGTTACTTTGCTTGGAAGTGCTTTTACAGAGCTATTCTAAAACTTTAAGTCATGAAACACATTTTCTGGATCTTATTGCAAGTGATTTTAGTGGACCATTTGTACTGAGCTTGCACGTGTTATTCGTTTTGAAGTGATACACCCAGTTGCTTATTTGACGCAACCCTCGGAGTTTCACAGGTCGGGAGACCTGTGTGAGTAAAACTTACGAGTAGCTATGTTGCTACAGCCATGAAGGTTGGTACTTCGATCCTCCGTTTCTATTGTAATGCATTCAAATAAAAACAACCCCGGGATGCCTTCTATTCAATTGCGAATACCGACTGACGGTCTCAACTACTTCTCTGTGCTCTTGTGCATCAGTGTTTCGTACGCCAAGCTTCATTTCCGTATTAACAATAGTTTCTCTTCGTTACTCTCTTTGTTTGCAGACTGGCATATTTTGAACATCAGGCCTGCATTATGACTGTGAATCAAATGCTTTCGGAAATGATGCGACATTATGTAAGCCAGGGGATACGTCAAATGTATGTGCTTGTTTTGGGTCTGGACGTACTGGGTAATCCGTTCGGTGTCCTACGTGGAATGGCACAAGGCGTGGAAGATTTGTTCTATGAGCCAGTCAAGGTACGTCTTCCGTTTTCCGTGTTAAAGTAGTGTGACCTGAGCGCGCTGTGTGCGTTATGCTCTTCACATGGCAATAGGTCAGCCACCAAGAATAGCTGTTTACCCAGGCCACCTCTATGGACTGTCATCGCTAGGCAGCTAGAATGCTGCGGATATTTCAGACAAAATCGACTAACTTGCATAGTCCTTCCGTATCTGAACTGCCACAGGAATATAATTTTAACTCACTGGGGACATTGGACTCGTCCTCCTTGGGCTATTATCATCATTGCACGATAAACTCTGCTCTCTACGAAAACTTGTGAGAATTCTTATTCAACTTTTCATTTTTAATATCGATATTCATCTCTTGTATTTTCGTACGCTTTGTTGCAATGAACGATTCTACAAATTTTTTGACGTATGCTGCACTGCTGATGCGTCCAACCTCTATAGTTTGTATGACTGGATTAAGTGAAACCGTGATGAACTAATCCCCCGTCTCCATCTGATAAACGGAGAAACGGCAAGTGCGGCTCATCATTTCCCGTTTGTCTTGTTTTCGGCACTCAGTTGTCCTCTGAAGTAATTCACAACTGTGATAACACGGTGAATCTTTAACTGTTTTATGGTGCAGACGTAGGTTCGTGAGTTAGAGGTCCTTTCGAAACACTTAGTGGTCAGAATGTATTATATGAGAGCGATTCTCATCCTGCCCTGAAGTAACGAGCATTCAACTATCCCCGCTGGTTGACCGTTACAGCCATCAAAACGTGGGTGGCGGTCGTGCTTACCATTACGAAGTAGTTGAATACATCTCAACGTATAACATTACTTTTCCAATTTGTTTCCCAGTTGGCAAGGTTGTGATTCCGCATTTTACTTGCGGAAAACATGCTGACCATAGCCATTCTGCTCATCATGGCACAAGCTACTGTTATCCTCAACTGAGCAGGTAGTTGGGACAGGTAACGCAACCTGGATCCGAGCTCGAGCAGTTCGTGTCAATACGCAAACCCTTAGACTTAAACTACTGTATTTTCCTGTTTGTCGAGAAAACCTCTCGATTATTCAGAGCCGTCAATAGAAACCAGGGCCAGTTCGCGTTCAGCAGCATCGTCAGTTACCCCTTTGTTTTTCTACCTTCCACCCCACAATTTTTGTGGCTTTTATTCTTCTGACTGCTGTATTTGTTACAGGGTGCTGTGCTCGGTCCAGAAGAGTTCGCGGAGGGCGTCGCCTTGGGAGTGAAAAGTCTATTTGGTCACGCTGTTGGTGAGTTCCATGAGGGTAGCTGATTTCATCGACTAAATGCCACTTTTTCCACTACTTGATTATATTTGTTCTTCACGTCCCCGTCAGGCGGAGCTGCTGGCGCAGTGTCTCGAATTACCGGTACATTGGGAAAAGGCGTGGCGGCACTTACGCTGGATGAAGACTACAAGCGTCGTCGCCGGGAGCAGCTTGCTCGACGTCCGGATAGTTTTGGTGCCGGTCTGGCTCAGGGCGGTCGTGGGTTGGTTATGGTAAATCAGCTTTGTTTTCTTGATGCGTGAATCAGCTTCTACCGCTTCTGTTTGCTCACGCATTACCTTTTTTCAATAAGCAGCCACTATGAACTTTCCATTTTCTGTCTTCCTCTCGTAACTTGTTTCAGGGTGTGTATCATGGATTAACTGGTGTGCTGGTCAAGCCCGTTGAAGGAGCAAAGAAGGAAGGTGTTGAGGGATTTTTCAAAGGTATGCTTATTTCCGTCAAAATTTCACTTATCGTTTTCTGCTCTTGCGGATTACTTGACGGACCAACTTCGATTTCTTCCAGGTTTCGGCAAAGGGCTCATCGGGGTTGTCACACGCCCTGTCTCGGGAGTGGTGGATTTCGCTAGCAGCTCTTTTGAAGGGATCCGGAGGTGAGTGGAAACTACGCTATCCCTTTGTCCGTTGATAGTGTCCAACTGACATTCATCAGGTGCGAAGGTGGTGTAGCATCAATCACTGTTGACTGAAAGATATAGCGAACAAGTAGAAAAAAATAATCCTTAGACGTCGCCTGTAGCTTTGGTTGGCCGTTTTGATCCATAAGCCTGCTGGCGGTTCAGAGCGGATCGCTTGTTTTCATCATCATCATCATTGTCAGCTGTAAGAACCACGTACTTGTCGCTGTCGGGGAGGTGGGGTAGATAGCTGCACACCGGAGGCGGAAGCCGATAAATTCTTGCATCAATACAGCGTCATCAGTGGACTGTTAAGTGGGGGGATTTGGAAGGGAGCTATGCATTGGAGGCAATAGCTTGGATGCACGAGCGCCATTGAGGGCGTGACTGGGCCATGTCTAACAATATCTCCAACCATTAATGTAGCCCCTCTCGGAGACCCCATCCATAAAGGCGGCAATGACCGGTGCAGCTGAATTTGCTGGTAATGACTTTTATACTTCGCTGCCAAGTCATTGTTTGACCTCCTCTGGCTCGTTTCCACCGTTCACGTGGTTATGCGAAAAGAACCCTTCGAGGAATTCAGTCGACTGGCATAAGGAACACGTGACCAAGCCAGCGCAACCTATGCAATGTGATCAGTTCATCTATCGAGGGTGAGTGGTTTCTTCCGAATATCATTCGACATATTTTAGCATTGCTGTTCCCACCAGACTCGGGCAATGCTCCGAAGACATCGATTGTCAAGCACTGAAAGTCTTTTGACGTCCTCAGCGCGCAACGGCCAGGTTTCTGATCCATGTAGTAGTATGGGGCGCACCGCAGCATTGTAAACTCGACCCTGGACGGATAAGCTGATGTCACGCCTACGCCACAGGTGACGCAGGTTCACAAAACCTACTCTGGCCTTCCCAATCCGGATGGAAATCTCATCTTTCGCGAGACCACCGGGACTGATACAGCTACCCAGGTAGACACATTTGTCTACTACCTCAAGCAAGCCAGGTTTCGAGCCCACCTAGTCTTGCAGTAGCATTTTGTAGGTGTGAAGCGCATGCCGAACCGCGAAGCAGAATTATTTAGATTATTTAATATTGTTTGCATTACTACGGGATCAGATCCAAGAAGAGCTATATCGTCTGCGTACTCGATGTCTGTGAGTGGAGACCCAGGGGGCACTTCGACCCTACAGGCGTTAGAGGCTGGTAGTGAGTCATCCATGGTCACATCAATGAGGAAGAATTTGTCGGGAGATGAAAATGTGATCGATTCATCCTCTTGGAGGACGGAACCCTGCTTGGTTTTCACGAATCTGTCTCCCTGTGTTCAGTCAACCTTCGAAGGATAACACCTTCTATCCCACAGCTAACAGGCTGATGGCACGGTGGTTTTCACACAGCGTCCGCGTACCCTTTTCGAAGAGAGGGATAACTGCCGACATATCCCATTCTGTAGGCACCTTATCTTCGTTCCATATAGCACCAATAAAGTTTGTCAGATGGATCGTCAGGGATTCTCAGCCTTCTTTGAAGAGTGCTGGATGCAGACCGTCCGGTCCTGGTGCCTTCTCACGTTTTAGCACGAGTATTTCGTACTTTATTTCTTCCGAAGGGTGATCAATGTCTACATTCCATTCGCCTGTGTGCACTATTACAGGCTGTGTTGCAGAAGGCCATTTGAACAGTTATTCGAGGTGTTCGGCTCATCTTTCCAGTCGACTTTTTTGCGAGTGATCGTTGCTTTCCTAGGGCCAGTCGATCGTATCAGTTGATATAGGGCACGGCGGTTTCCCGTAGCAAAAGCCTTCTCCATCTCCCGAGCTTTCGATGTCCACCATAGCTCTCGGTCTTTCTTTATACTCTTCAATATTTGGCGTTTGGGGAGTTTGCGTGCGCCGTCGTACTCCTTGCCTGCTGGTATGGATTTCCTGGCATCGATCATGGATAGCGATCTCGTCGACATCCAGTGGTCTTGCGGGAAGGTCGGGCAGACAGCATTGAACGTCACTGACATAGCTCCTTTCACATTTTGCCACGCTTCATCCACGTGATATCTGCCACCACAGTATTGGTTTACTGTGTAGATTTGTTGGGCTAGCTCAGATCGATACTGTCGAGCTATGGTAGTTTTTCGAAGATAGTGGATTGGCAGGCTTCTTGCTGACTTGCGAGGACCTGAAGGGAAACGAACTCTCAGGTGTGCACACACCATGGCGTGATCGGAATCAAGTGGTGTGCTTCAGAAGGAACGGCAGTCTTGAATTGTGGCTCTTCAACAGTGGCTGATGACCACGTGGTCCAACTGAGTCCACGGTTGATTCGCACTTAGTGGCCGCAAGGTTACGCGGTGCGAATGTTTATGTTGAATGTTCGTACTTTCTCGGTAGAAAGTATCCTTCTCAGCATCAGAACTACAGTCCGTTGGGGGATAAGCCGACTCTGCAAACAGGCACCGTTTTTATATGTTGAGGCATTGAGCCTGATTGAACTAAATAGCCGGACGACGCAAAGACGACTGTGCAATGGGACCCAATCCAGCAAAGCGCGTTCAGCTCTGGGGCTGAGTGCGACTTCCACGCCATATATTACACAACCCATTGCTTCTGAGTCACCGGGTACACGGAGGGAGAAATGTGAAAGAGCTGATTTAATCCCTGGTGTTCTGAAATGCGTAACCACGCTTGGGTCTTGCATGCGTGTTTCGGAGACACAGCATACATCCATTTTAAGGGAGTATAAGGTTTCAGTAAACATTGCCTGGTTACCAATTTGACACAGAGTACGGATGCTAAAAGCTCCTATATAGAAAGGATCTTGTGGATTTAGAAGGGTTATTTTGTTAACAGTTAGTAGGCAGCAGGGAGCACAAGGCTCTTCGGTCAGATAACCGACAGTCAAGTGACTCAGTAATGATTGCTTGTGTGATGGGAGGGGGTTGGGGAGGGACATCGGTGGACACCAAACTGCGCGGGCAAATGATACTTCTTGGTTGCCCAGGCCGAAGAAGGGGGTTCGGTTGAGATACCCCACCTTGGGCCTTTGACTCAAAAGTGTGGCCCACAAGGTAGTGGTAGGATGTAGGATTTTGTTCGGGGACCCTGTCCCGAAAAGTTAAACTCAAAAGTCTGACCCGCGAGGCAGCGGGCAGTAGGGCTTTCTTTTGGGACCCTGCCAGGAGCCGATGACTCAATAGTCTGACCTGCTCGGCTGCATGGGGTTGGCCTAACCCGAGGGTACAGGGGATAAGGCATTACTGTCCCATTCCTGATACGGCTGCACACAGCAGATGCCTTTTGAGCATAACCGGACTCTTTGGTTTTAAAAGTATTTCGACCGTATTGGATAATGCGCCGGCGGTCACATTCAACCGCTCGGTGATCGGAATATGCGGATTTTGGGGCCGACCTTTTCTAACCCGTCCTTCCTTGGAGGAAGGCAGCATCGCTGCTTCCATAATTATGGACATGCTGGTCGCTTGGGGGAAACACCTTACTGCCTTCACACTCCTGTCGCAGAGGACAGTACGACTTTATCCCCAGACCGCCCCGTACCACGATTGCTCGTAGTGCGGGGTCTCGCTGCCACCCTTTAGCCTTCCTGGCGTAGCTACACCTTGTGGAACGACGTTCCAGCCAGTGTATCCCGCGGGATCATTGGAGCACTCAAGCCCGACCACCACGTCAAGGTGGCAGCTTTAGGCCGGGATCGCTTGTTTTAGGTGATTGCATTGGCTCTACTCACGATCTTCCCTCCTCGTGGGTTTCACAATCGGTATAACTGCTCTCATCTCTTTCTATGTTGCAGAATCGCAGACACAGTCGAGGATGTTGCTCGGGTAAGACCTCCTCGTTACCTACAAATGGATGGCATTATCCGGCCGTATGAACGGAGACAGGCGGAAGGCCATTTAATTCTGCAGGTAAATACACACTTCTGTCGATTGGGTTCGATTTTTCCTTGGTCGTTTTTTTCCTTTATGCTTCTGCTGACGCACCGGTTGTTTTCGTTTCAGAGGGTGAACAAGGACAACAACTACGGGCATTATGTGTTTCACATCAGTGCTTCAAAGGGAAACAACTTTTTGCTCCTGACCACAACGTGAGTCTACTCAGCTATCCATTTTGTCCACCTTTGCTTGCAACATGCTTGTGTGACTTACAAACACAGACGCATGCACTCGGGTTTCTGGGCTATCATGATACTTTAATGATTCATTGGCTTTCAGATATCCTTTGTTACTAAGTATCGGTGTGCGAAAACAGTCATCTGGATGGACAGGTTCTGCCGCACAATATTCGAATCACGTCATTAATAACACATTTCTGAAATTCTGCAGGTTATTCCCAATTACGCAGGCGCTTTTTATGTGGCTATGATTGTAAGTGGAATTAGGCGTGCCGCTTGATTTTCGGGAACTTAGCCCATTGGAAATGTTGAACTGACCGCCGTCGAGATTGTAGCGACCCAGTCACCCACATACTTGACTGTTCAACTCAGTCGCTCATTGGATCGCGAGGCTTGTCTTTTTCTCATACACACAAACACGTCGCATTAAGCTGACACATCGGACATCGATTGTCTGCACTACCTAGTCAGCGCAGCAACCACTCATTTGCCGACGCGCCCACATACACGCACTGGGACCTACATAAAGGCAAACCGAACCCAGTCAAAACACAGACTCGCGCGCGCGCAGGGAGCAGGACGTCAACCTCTCCACAAGTCCATGGACAACCATGGAGTACGTGTAGCAGTCTAACTGCGGAGAGAAACACGTTCCCGCCGTCCGGACTTCCACCAAGGGACTCTCGCATCCGATAAGTTCCCTTTTTGACTTGCTCCCATCCTCGCACTGTATTTATTTTTGTGTCATAGAAATACTAAAAACTTTTATTAGTGCACATTCACCTTCTGATTTGTATTACGACTATCATCACCTGTGCGCTAATAAGGTATCGAGAAAGTTCAGTAACCAATGTGGAGTGTCCGTGTTTGAGCACATTCCTGGTTTCTCCATTGTTTTTTCTGAACTTGGGCAACCTAGCAGCATCCCGTCCATCATACTTCGCTCAGCCAGAATGTCACTTGCGCAGCAAAAGTTTGTCACAGCCAGGAAATCGTTCAGCTGTAACACCCCTTCGATGCCTAGCTGCCATGCCACCCGAAGGAAGCTCCCAGACAAATGGGGAGAATCGATGATAGTGCCCGAGGCGCATTCGACTCGGTTGATCGGTCTGTTCTTCTTGAGACGCTTGCCCACCAAGGAATGCCCCGGAAGTTTGTAAACATAATACGTTCTTTGTATTCTCAGACTTCCGGACGTGTGAGAGTGTACGGAGAGCTCTCCAAAAGCTTCCGCACACAAAGCGGTGTCCATCAGGGATGCCCACTCTCTCCATTCCTTTTCAACTTTG